AGGCACAACTGTAAGTTGACAGGTGACCTTCATTGACACCCGAGTATTTCAGCCAGGCCTGCAGCCTTGTAAACAGAGCCCAGATTGTGCGGTGTTATACAACTGTCTTTTGTTCACGAACCTAGCTCAGTGCACTGCTGACCTCTTTTCAATAGGGGCCAGATTAGCGTGCATTGGTGCTGTGTGGCTCATTGCCACAGTGGTGGAGCGCTTTTATCCCCGGTGGTAATCCACTCGCTCTCAATGCCCCAAACCCTGGTATACGGTTTCAAAACAAGGCTGCATTATCACCACTTTTGAGAGTGAAAAATGTTGATAATTCCCATCAGCCTTGTCTTTTGTTTGGAGTACGGTCTTTTGTTACAGGGCCCTGTTTCCTTTGTCCGAATCCGGAGACCCCGGCCACGCATATAAAACATGTGTCTCCGATTCCGGAGTTCCTGGCAGGAAGTGGTTATGAAAGTAGATTAATTAAAAGAAAAAAGACAGTATCTCCACCAAGTTACTTGACAAGCAAAAAATGAAAGTATCTATAATCTAAATTTTTTACAACAGTCATTGTTTTTAATGAATATCTTCACCAACAGAAAATCTGTACATTTATGTTTTTATGCTTTATATTTCCCGCATCATTTTCTTCACAAAAAACACAAAACCAAAACACAAACAAAACCCTAGGTGTTGAGTTCTGAATTACAAGACAAAGCAACAATTCAGTGGTCATACAACTTTGGCCAACAAAGAAATCACCGTTACCTTGCAGTAAAGCATCAATACCTTTTGTCGTGTTACAATCATACAAGTGCATCTTAAGAAAACACAAATTTTACGCTGTTAATAACTTACAGCAAATTTTAGGCATGGTGACAGCACTTGGAACTCTAATCAAAAGTATACTCAAGAAAAAATGAGTAAAGTTTACGGACAAAGGGCTCTCTGTAAGCAATGAACTTGCATGTCAAATTTTCTTCTGGTAATGTGTCTGATTTTGGAGTGCATGCTAAACCAACATGCACAGCCTGATGCAATAACAGATGGGTAGCGCTGCATACACCGACAACCAGAACAAATGTCATGCAGCTGGTAACCTGCCTATGCTAAGCAGATTTAACCACTGCTGTAATTTCTGGACACAAAATGGACACCCCGTGCAGTGATGCACACTTTATCATATTGTACATATACCATTTTGTATCCAGGTTGAGTCGCTACACTCCAAGTGCACCTCTAGTAACAGTGAGGCTGCGCTGTGCTGAATCATAACAGCATTTGCTATCTTCGTGTGCACATACACTGGGAAATCATATGTGGACACTGGCTAAGTGATACATACATGTCCCATCACAAACATTCATGTGATCACTTCTATTGACTTGTAACCCTCAACACAAGAAACCATTACAAAACAGACACAGTTTTGTCTCAGTCACAAGCGTCTCTGTAAAACAAACAACTAAAAATATCTAACAAAATGTACTTGACTGTTATCACAGTGGTTTTTTTTACATTATAACAGAAGTATACATGAATGGGAAAATGTCTGGGACATTTGTCTTAAAAGAAACAAAAGAACTTTAATTTAACACAGATAAGATTTTCTGAAAAATAAAATTGCATGCTACTTCCATCAACAAGGTAATAATAAAGTAACATTCTTACATTCTGATCCATGATTGTTTCTTGTCCTAGTTTTTTTTATTTAAGGATTACTACTTTGCCGTGACAGTTTCTTTCAAAAGGGAAAACTAAAAAAAAGGAGAGGGCAGCAACCTCTTGTTTGGCAAAAGTATTTTTTTCTTCCATCCATCTGAAAACTTGCATCAGAAGAAAGCTATTTCACCATGGATAATACTAGATCAGAGAATACGAGTAGCACTGCATGGCTTAACAAAATGTCCTTACCATTCTTCACAATAACGTGCATATCAGCTGGGAGGCTTCATAAAAATAAATGTACTTCAACCTTAAAATGTTCTTCAACTTGAGAGATCGACGTCAATAACCAAGTTATTGATACCTAGTATCACTGTTGGTACCTGCTACATCACTATTTCTACACTAACTTTTAGGTTAATCGCTATCTGATAAGGTCTCATACTGAGAAGATAGCAATGGTGCAGGTTCTCTGTCACGGACACAAGATATCCCTGGACCGGGTACCGGTGATGGCCCCCTGGTGGGTCCCAGGTGGGGTGATGGGATCCTGAGATGGGCACTGGCCAGGTGGTTCTGGGTAGAGCTTGTTGCGGAGGAGGTGGCAGCCGGGGAAGCCCCCGCTGCTGATCGGAATGAGAGAGCTGAATATGCAAACTGGTTCCCAGCCTGACCGGTCCCCGAAGTGGGAAAGCCATGCTGGGAAGCTGGTGATGGGCAGGACGTAGGTACTGACTGGCTGGGTTGATTACAAAGATCGGGCTGGGACTGTCCAGCCATGTTGGGTGAGGTTACACCTGAAGCCCTGTTACTACTCATGCAACTGGAAGAGCCGACACTCAACCTTAGTGAACCATCCACAGGTGTTGAGCTTGGTGCTGCTTCGCCTTCCCTGCTATCTCGGGAAGGCAGTCGAGGACTTGCCCCTCTCATATGCTGCTGGGAGACATTCGGTTGCTGGACTGACTCTGCCTCGTGATTGTCCAAGTCTGAGACATCAGAGAGTCGGCTTTCATCCACTTCTAAGCCACCAGACTCTGCCGTGCTGGTGCTCTCTCGGCTGTCGCAACGCTGTGGGGAAGACCGGGAGCTAGACATCTCGGCTTCTACCAGCTGCGTCACATAATCATCCATTTTGGTGACCTTGGTGTCCATCCGAACTGGTGCCTCCATTCGCACCTGGGATTCGATCATGCGATCAATGGACCTCTGCAGATCAAACCTGAACACACTAGTGTCCTTCCTCTGTGGTTGTCTCCCGTGACTGCTACTTGGCAGCATGCTAGGATGTCCATGCTTTGGGGATCTGTTCACCAATGACTGAGCCGCACCCATCAGACACTGTCTCATCTGGGACATGCTTTCAGTGGGTTGCACTGGACTTTCCGAGTTGTACTCCTGAGAGGTGCTCTGCGGAGCTGGGTTGCTTCCTCGAGAGCTCTCCGCTTCTGGTCTGGACTTGGTGTCTGAAAGGCTGCTGCTGAGCTGTCGTTGGCTATCGCTGACTCCACTCTCTGCAGGGCCTGGGGTGAAACGGGCTCGGTCTTCACTGCTTGAAGCAGCATCCAGCACTGATGAAGAGCTTGATCCCGGCTCCACAATGGTCTTGGGCGAATCCCTGCGTCTGCTTCGAGAAGGCGGCCTGTTGGAATCAGCCACACCCCAGCTTTCTCCCTGGTGTGGAGAAGTGGACTGGGAGCTGTGGACCCTGAATTGCGGCTGAGAGCCCCTGGAGGCATTCTCGCTGCTATCAGCTCCATTACCCTCCTGTTGGTACTTCCTCTGCCAAGAGGCTGCTGACGGGGCCATGTCACTGACACTCACCGGTGATGCCTCCCGGCTCTGTTCAGATGAGCTACGCGAGACCCTCCCTGCTGATGTAGCTTCTTGGTCCTTCCGTGAACTCCACTGAGATGACACTCTGTTTGAGTAGCTGTCAGGTCTTGCACTAGCCGGAGAAGCAGAAGCACTGGATATATCAGACGCTGTGGATGCTGTCCGGCTTCTTGGACTACCTTCTTTGGAGCTGTTGATACTTGGTTCAGCAGACCCAGCATAAGACATCAACTGGCTCCTCACTCTGGAGTCACTTGTGCTACTGCGGGCACAATGCATGCTCTGTAAGGATGAAGCTACGGGACTGCTTCTCCGGGCCGCATCATTGGTTGATCCTACTTCACTGTCGGGTGTCCTGTATCTAGCACGAGGGGAGCTGGACGATGGTCCCTGGTCACGGCTTTCTGTAGTATCAACCCCAGATGTTTTCCCACGATCACGCTTGGCTATGGTCGAGCTTCCAGGGGCTGATGTCTGACTCATCTGTTCTGTCTTGTTGTAGCCCATGGAGATGATAGTGTCTATATGCTCAGCCAGGGTCATGGGCTGGGGTGGGGAAGGGGAAGTCACTGGGACGAGGCTTTCCTGAGGCCTCTCCTGCTGATCTCCACCTGTCTCTTTCTCTTGCTGCTTTGGATCCTTGGCGGCACTTGGAGAACGTTCCGTTGAAGAGGAGGGCACATTACTGTCTCCGTTCTCAGGCTGCAGGGAGTCCGAATCAGAGACTGTCTTGCCACACTTCTCGTTTGATGTGCCTGTGTTCCGCCCAATAGATAAACCATCTCCGCTGTCCGAGTCAGTAGCCGGATCCTGATTATCATGCATGGGCTGGTTGATGGAGCGTGTGATGATGACATCAATCAGATTAGCAGCTGTCAGCGGCCGGCTGGAGCTCACCGATTCATCCTCAGGAGAGACCCGTGGCGTCTGCTTATCCTTCTCAAACAGGGCAGCAAAGATGGCCGAGGCATCCGGCTCTATACTGTGATTCCTCTGTTGCTCACTGTGTCTCCCTGCCTCTTTCCTCTCTTTACTCTCAGATGATGTGGAGATCCGGCGTTCTTGACCCGGACCGGAGTGACTGGAACCGGCCGAGTAGGGCCTTCGTGGATAGCCATGAGATTCACTAGAGGAGCTGGCATCACGTTCTCTGCTCTCCTGACTGGCTTGTTGCATTCTCCTTGCTTCTGAAAATGAAAGGCAGAAATTCAAATCATACATTACCAGGAAACTTATATTTGGGTAATTCCAGAAATTAGGGGTACAAAAGTGTGACATTTTTGTGTCCCTGTTACATCCGACCTTTGTTATTTGACATGCAAATACACCGGAATTCATTTCAAACTATGATTATTTGTTTGGAAGGCGATTTGCATTAATTCTCCACTCTTGGAAATTAGAAATTGTGTTCTGAACTTACAAAATCATATGTCAGATGTGCCAAGGACACGAAAAAAACAATGGACCCCTGATTTCTGGAAATACCCATTTACCTCTTTAATCTATCAAGTAGGCTGATCTAAAGTTATCATCACCAAGAGCTAACAGCTAACACGTGAGTGCAAAGGCACAAATATTATGAGCTCTTTCACGGAAGAATCCAAAACGATGATACCTTACGGATCTTGGAGGCTTCCACAACTAGAGACCACTGTTAATTTAAGCATGAATGAGAAAGTGGGAAAAAAAGGAGAAAATTCCAAGTCGAACAAGAGTGTCCTGGGCTTTTAAATCGTTATGGCAAATACAGGATGTCGGAGAGAGGAATTCAACTGATTTGAGCAGCTACACGGTGTCTTGTGTCACCTTTCTCTTGAGCTGTTCCCAGAGTTTCGGCTGAGGCAGCCACATGGACCAAAGTACGGAAGGCTTCTGAGCCACTGGCTGCACCGGGAGACTTACTGCCACCAGACCCTAACAAATGAAGAACAAAGTGGAGAAACTATTTTCGGCTACCAAAATACCAGATTCAACCCGCTTAGTTTCTTAATGGACATCTTTGGAATAAACCTTTTCAGGACAAATTTACGCACACTGATCATAACTGCACAATATTTGCCCATTTACCACATTCAAATATGCTAGAGCTATTCTCAGTTTACTGTAGGTTTGTAAAACGTGAAAAACATAAAAAAGATATTTTTCTGCAAGCCAAAGTAAGCCACAGATGAAAGATAAACCTGTGAACAATGAGGAACGAATCATGTTACAAGATGAAAAGTAGGCCATGTTTCTGGGGTGACAACTCTGGTTACCTGAGGTACTCTCTGCTCGACTTCTTGGTGTCTCTTCCCTTAACTCAGGATTGGGTGTTCCCATGGTGATGCTGGGAGGGGGTCTGATGGGTGTACCTCTCATGATGCTACCCCCAATCGCACCAGCAATCATGTGATGGGGCCCTGGGTGGCTGGTACCCACCAAATGGGCACCAGGATGGCTGGAATAAGCCGGATGGACAGTGGAAATGCTATGAGCAGCGGTCACAGCGTGGGAGGAGGTCGATGGAAAGGAGCCCGGATGGGTGACCGGGTGCACCCCGGAGCCTGGATGGGCACCAGGGCTGGAGCCTCTGGGTGGGTGCTTGAAGCGCACTGCACCCGCTCCTTGCGGTGCAGGCCACCTGTGGGATAAATTCACAGCTTGCTGCTGGGTATAATGCTCGGCTGGTGATGTCACCTCCCGCTGCTGCTGTTGCTGTTGCTGCATGGGAGAGGTCGTACGTCTGTCCGTGTGGGCGGGGTGTTGGGATGACGGGTGGGCCTGCGTAGTGTGGGGACTGATGGAGGGGTGGGGAGGGTGAGGGGAGGGGATACCTCCTGGGTAGTGCTGAGCAAGGAGATGGGAATGGCTCGGGTGTATGTACATCCCGTAGACAATCTGTCCATGCTGTCAAGACAAAAAGGGAAATACCACAATCACTCCAAGATCATGAACAGTCACTGATTTTCAAGTCAGGCTTATTTTGTCTGAATCCTGTAATCTTTCCATGCACTACTCCCTTTCATAATTTTAAATGCAAAACAAGAAACAGGTGTCTAATGCAATAGGCGTCTTATCATGAGTAGCCAAACTTGATCAATTTATTCACAAGTAAGCATGACTCAACAACGGGGTAAGCATCAGAGACCCAATTTCAGGGAAAACTTAGTCCTCAAAGAAACCATCTAACCATACAGGCACTATGTCTAAGAATATGGGCTACGGCTAGCAATAACCAATCATCCATAGCAGCCTATGGGTGGCTGTGTAAGCCACTTCTGACAGACACATGCACTACTCCTAGCCTTTACCCAGTAGATCTGGACAAGGTCTTAGAAAGTCCACTAACCGGGGTGACCGAGGCATACTGCAACATCTGTTGCTGGATCTGTTGGTCTAACACCTGCTGCTGGCCTGGTTGGAAATTCTTGGACATCGGTGACTCTCTGCGAGGAGAGAGTCGAGAGTCTTTTGCCGTAGTGGCTGGTGGGTACTGGCTCCCTCGTGGCTGCCCGACGGACTGGCTCATCTGCTGTGCCATCTGCTGGGTGATGGGCTGACCAACCAGTTGGTGCGACAGCTGCTGCTGTTGTTGTTGTTGCTGCTGTTGACTCATCTGTTTAGCTGTCGCATAGTCCCCTGATAAACCAAAACCAGCGATTTACAAAGAGGCATGTCTAGAGTTTTTAAACTCACCAGGACATTTTAAATAGGGAGTTTTAATGACACCTGAAATTTTGAAATAAGAAAAACACACAAGTACCTGCAATAGTGGAAGTTCGCTGGCTCATTTGCTTTGCTGTTGCAAAATCACCTGCACCAAAAGACATGATATAAATTCATTACGAGACTGACAGGAGGCAAATATAACATTTTGAAAAAAGACAGATCCAGATTCAGGTACTATGCATTGTTACTCATTCAACCGTGACATTGAGCACATGATCAAGTGGTCACTGGAAAAAAGACATTCAGGCCTTTCTGGAGACATGTAACGCATAATCAGGAAAGCTGTAGGTTTCCTATAAATTATGATTGAATTTGGATTTCCTTTATTTTGATACACCTATGATAAGCTATGACAGGTGGGAAACAGGAAATCCAAAAACTCCATGAATTACTTTTCCAAAATCACTAGCCAGTACTTCCCAGATTCACGGCCAGTAGTGGGCTGAATCACTGGCCAGCATTTCCCTCAATCACTAACTAATGATTCTCTATTGCCAGTTTTCTCTACATCACAAATCAGTGTTTTTCTAGATTGCAGACCAATGTTTCCCTGACTTACCGGCCAATGTTTCCTTGGAGCTGTTGAAGGATGTGGTGTCTGGCTGGCTTGATCTAGCCATTAGACTGTTCATGTAATCCTGATGACGTGCCAGGTACATTGCCGATGCATCTACTGGCAAGTGGGGCATGGGGCGTTCAAAAGGGTTGGATGCTGTAGAATTGGGTAACAAAAAAACCACAGTTGAGGTTTGAACTTTATTCTCCATTTACAAATAACTGAATGTTGGTTATCTTGACACAATTGTTCTTTAAGAGCAAAAATTATCATTTCATAAATATAAGACACAGTGAAGCAATAAAATGTGTAAATTTTAAATGCAAATGTTTGCTTTCACTCTGCATGTCCTTCACATCTCCATTCACAGAAACAAGTTTGCCAAAGAGAAGCCAAGCCATCCGTGTATTGATGTAAGCTTCTTCAAATTTTGATGCCTACCTCGAACCGTCCCGCTGGTATCCACGTACACTGGTGACCGTCTGGCCAAAGGGTTGTCATAAATAGTAACCCGGTGCATGAGCTGTTCATGACGAGACCCAGACTGGGTCACTCTAGGTCTCTCGCCCTCATAGGTGACAGGGGTGCTCCGCGTGGTGCCTGCTTCGTAAGCACCAGGAGTGGCTCTCTGACTTTCATGATTCATGCTTGAACCTATGCGTGGTAGAGAAAGTCAGGGAAACATTTGTCATTTACTGTTCTAATCAAACTTACTATCACCATGAGCCACTGTGACTATCACCACAAACCCTCCTCAGTAACACCACCATCACCTCACATATCACCATGATCACCAACACCACCACTGCTGGCTTTTACACTTCAATTACAGCATCTGCTATTATGTTCACCATCAACAATTTGGATGAGATTTTGCAGAATCCATCACCACCATGACCTTTGCTCTTTCTACTGTCATCACCATCATCCATGCCCACTATCTAGCACTGAATTTTTAAAGTTGCCACGGTACCCTGATCGATTGGTCGATACCACCATGACGTATGACAATGTGACAGAGGGCTGGGCCACTGAGGGTGAGTGCTTATCAGGACAGGTCACATCACAGCATGACTGACGAATCGCCATTCAAAAGAATTCCTGCCAAATTACACATCTACAAGGACTCACCCTCGCCCTTTCTCAAGTCAGACACATACCTTTAGAACCTGATGGTTCATGCAACGGAGGCTGCATAGGTACACCCCTGACGATGGACCCACCAGGCAACTCCCGTCCCCCTCTATTTATGGGCGTCCCCTGGGTGATGGATCCCCCTCCCCCTACCCCCTCCTGCCGTGGGGAAGTCGCTGAGGGTTGACCCTTGACCAGCAGTCCATCATAGCCAGCTGGGGTCCTTTCATATCGACTGGAGAAGTAAAAAATGATAAAAAGGATTTCAAACCTAAGAAGAGGCTTCCTCTACATCTACTTTGAAATACACTTGTAAGAGAATCATTCAGGTCTCATCGGTAGAAGCTCTCAATAACCTCACATAACCTGATCAGTTATGGCCGTAAAAACTCCCAAAATATGGTTTAAACAATGGTACAGCTTTGGAAAACCAAACACATTAAGGGACAATGAAGTTTTGATTCTGATTTCCGAATCCCCAAACATGTTGCACAAAGGGGATTCTTTGATTAAAGAGAATTTGGAGTGATTAGGATTTTACAACAAGGCCTAAGACAGGCAGTGACTGAAGGTTTGATCGGACAATGAGGGCTTTGTGAAATTATTCTGATGAGTTGGAGTAAAAATTACCTGGAGGGAGGGTTCGCAGCCGTGGAGAAGTTGATGGGTGTACCCTGTGTGATGGACCCACTGTGGAGTTGGCCCAGGGGTGACGGCTTCTCAGTCTTGATAGGCTTGGGCGACAGCTTGTTGATCAGGGGAGGGGGTGGCGGAACGTTCGCCTTGGTGGATCTGGGTGGTGGGATAGCCCGGTGTTGCTGCTGTGACTGGGAGGCTCTGTCCATGGGCACAAGAGCAAACGGGGAACCAGACCGGGGCGGTCGGGCACCTGTGGGTACCCCGGGTGGGGAGGACACATGTGGGTGCTGATCCCGGTCAGGGTACATGTCTCCGTGTGCATCTCGTGGATAGCGGGCACCTGGGTACAAGGCCTGACTGATGGCTCTGCCTGGATACCTCATACTGGGTATATCTGGGTGACTGCTTCCAACTTCATAGACATCTCGCTCCTGCAGCGACTTCTGCTGCTGCTGTTGAGTCCTGTGATGGACTTGAGACGTGTGGGAGATGTGAGGCGAGACATAGGCCACCCCCGGCTCCCCTCGAGAGGCCGGTATCCGACGGTCTTTGCCCTCGCTGGAGTCTGCCCAGGGTGTGCTGCGGCCTGAGTGCATCTCGCGGTACATGCTCTCTGAGGACCGACGCCCCTCCTGAGATTCCTTGAGGTCCTTGGCCGAGGCTGGACTGCGACGGGAATCAGATAGGGAGGAAGGGTTGCCGGTCACCGAGTCTTGCTGACCAGGAGAGCTGGCACTGGATGTCGCCTTGCCTGCAAAGTAGAAAATAAGAAAACCAGCAGTTTTCAGATTGCCTCACAGTTAACATAAAGTGGAATTTAAATAACTTACAAGGACATTAGTAAGACACTGGTTCAGAAAGTTTTTGCATTTCTTTACATTTGCTTTCAATCCAGGCTATTTGGCCTGGGGAATGGTGGACTGGTTTGATCTTGTTGCAATGGGCACGGAAAACCACTTTGATAAATGAGCAGACTGATGCATCTGGCTGGGTTTCTTGCCAAAATACCCTGAAACTTTAGGGATAATGGGTGAATTTATCTCGAAACCTTATCATAAATAGACGTTCGATGGAAACCTTTAATACAGGTGTCGGTACACGATTTAAAAAAAAAATGCCTTGATTCAAATTCCATGACTTTTGTAGGACTTTCCGGCACTAAAATAAGACAATTTCCATGACATTTATTTACGCCATTTTGCAAAAACAGTTGTTCTGCATTATGAACTGGAAGTGTGCAACAGCCATTACCACAGACTAACATGGATTGCCTGTCAATTTATCATCATTCCATTATCAAAAGCGGCCAACCAGATAATCCCTTCATGAAACTGACTTCCATGACTTTTTTTTGTCAACAGGATTCCAGGACACCTCATATTTTCCCAATTATCCATGATTTTCCAGGACAACTTTTTTCCAAGAATTTTCCATGACCATGCCGAGAGCACACTGCTTCCTTAACAAAGCCAACTAACAGTGGAGGTTTACATCCATAGACAGCCCTCTTGTGACACTGTAATGAAAAAGAACTACAGTGGAACGCCGCTATACCGAACACCGCTATGCCGAACATCATCCTTGGCTCGCAGTAATTTGTGCACAGAACCTACCGAACACTATTCAATTGCCGTTTCTAATTCCCGAACATCAACATGGTAAAACAGTCTGTGTTTTTTGTGTTGAAAAGTGACAAGTGGCCATTATTTCCCAAAGGATTAGAAGGGAAAGCCACTAGTTGTCAACAATATTGAATAGACACTGGTTTTGCGACTCCACATGATCAGGTGCGGAAGAAAACCGCACGTACGCACACGGTGGCATTGCACTAACAATACAATGTAGTCTAAAGAGGGCGCCGCTGATACACAAATCAACCGAGATTCGCCACAGCATGCATCACAGATCGATCCTGAGCAGTAGTTTCACGACTTTAAGGATAAACTTGATATCAATTTTTTGACTCAAGTTTACATAAAAACAAAAACAATTAACAGATACATTTCTAGAAACCTTAAACTTGAATGCATGCAACTGCAAAATATCACCAAAACAGCGAACCAGGGTATCACAAGAGGGTGCACTTCGGTTAGACAAGAGAGGGTGCTATTCAACATAGCAACGAAACATTTGACAGTTAAATTCGCTATACCGAACGACCGCTGTACCGAACATGTACTGTGGACCCTGTCTTGTTCGTTATAGCCGCGTTCCACTGTAATACTGAAAAAACATTGCCAAGATATTTGAGTTTTAGACTAACCAAGGTGCTTATCGATGGCTGAGTCGATCAAATCTTTGATGTTGTTGACTTCTTTGCCTTCCATTCCCAGGAATTCGGCCAGGGTTGGGTTGGGTTTCCCTGAGCTGCCGGCATCCCCAGAGATCCCCATCCTGGCCTGCCTGCCGTCCTGCTGAGTTTGCACCTGCGGCTGGGATGGAGGTTGTGATGAGGACGAGAGCTCTCCTAACCTGTCTCTGTTGGCTGGGAGTTGGTGGTGGTGGAAGAATCGTTTCTCGTCGCTAGAGGAGACCTTGTCGCAAGCGGATTGGCCCTGACTTTCCAGGGCTCGTCGGGTTAGTGGCATCAAGGATGAGTTGGTTGGCTCTTGGATGACAACAGCTTCCACGTCTTCGTGGGATTGGCCTTCATCGGCGCTACATGTGGCACTGGAGTCGTCCTCATCACGAGGCCGTGTTGGGCCAGGAGGGAGCTCAGCACGACTTGGCAGCATCTCTGCATTAAGAGACGGCTGTTCAGGTTGAGAGGAAGGCCTGGGAGGGCCAAGAGGGAGCTCTGCACGGCTTGGCAGCATCTCTGCATTAAGAGATGGCTGGTCAGCTTGAGAGGAAGGCCTGGGAGGTTGCTGGGGTTCTGCTGTCGTCTTCTTAGCAGCGTCAACATCCTTCGGCTGCTCTGCCTTTTGTTCGGTGTTACCAACGTCGCGCCTGGCCCCCTCTGGATTGTCGCTTGCCCTACCACCACCCTTGTCGTTTCCCGACTGGTTTTTGTCATGCCCGGTGTCCGGCAAGCTCCCCTTGTTGTCTCCGGCTCCACCGACCGTGACAGCAACAGATGCAATGCTAGGACCTCCCACTTCCATGGGCTCAGTTCCTCCAAGCCCAGCCTCCCCGCCTTCTCCCTTTTTAAGCTTCCTGGACAAGCTGTCTCCATCGTTTTCGCTGGCACTGTCCGTGTCTGAGCTACCCATGTCGTTGTCAGCATCGTTCTCTTCATCACTGAACATCATAGAATCATCATCATCATCTGACATGGCAGTCAGTGTGGAAACAGTACTCTCTGTAGTGGAAATGCGATGTTCTCTTTCCACCTGTAAAAAACAAACAGACAGCAAACTTCACTGCCGATTAATGTCTCAATTGCACTGCAAATTAAAACTAAGCACCAAAGTTACTTTAGTACATGAACTGCTTGACAGAAAATCAGTGCAAATGACTGAAGAGAAATACCTTAGCTTTCCTGTTGTGTTCCTCAAGAATCTGTTCCAGGTTGAATTTCCTCTTGTAGTTGAAGTAGAAATTCTTGCACTGAGCTTCAGTCTTGGTGCCAACGGCTTTGGAGATGGAGGCCCAGTCTCGACCGTGCTTCAGTAAACCTTTGTAAGAAGTGTGTACAGAGACAGACAGAAACGTCAGAGACAATGCAAAGACAGCTCCATACAAATCTATATGGAGATATGCCTAAAGTCACTTCAAAATAACAGACCACTGGCCACTTTAACTGTCACCCGGAAGATGCGGCTAACAGATTTGATATCGGGGAACCCAAAAATGGATCACGTGGTAACAGACACAAGAAATATATGCAGGGACTCCTTCGGGTAGAGATCACTTCAGAACTGGCAACTCTAAAGCACAACCGAAAAGTTTGGAAATCCCACATATCACTACTGTTTATAATCATGATGACAGTCGACTGAGGTCGACGTGATAGATTGAAAGACAGCATGCCAAACTGATCTCTGACCAACTCAAATCTATCAAGAAATCCATGGCCTGCTTTTGTAGGATTATGATGGATTCAGTACTATCCACTCAGCCACTGTCAGTTTACACAATCATCAAGTTCTACTTAATGTTCATATGCAGAGAATATTTCAGTATATCAGTACACGGTAGAGTCCACAAATTTTCATTACTCTGGCTGTCACCGTACTTGCCATTTTTTGGTGAGGACTAGATTCTGGAAACCCCATGTCGGATATACCTCATTTGTATGGTTCTGAATACACTGTGTAAAGTCACATGAGTTTCAAAGTAGGGCATAAAATACCACAGCAGTAATTTTTGGTACCTTGTAAGTGACCGAAAAATGAAAACAAATTTTATTTTTACACATCGATGAACGTATTAACTTTGAACCAACTAAATTGATGAGAAAGTGCATCCAAAATAACTCAGAGCACTGTCGGCCAGTGCTGGGGTTGAGATCAAAAGAAATGCTTTAGACCAACCATCTTTAGCAATCTCCATTTCTTCTTCCGTCCATCTGGAGGTTTCATTGATAACTGTGAAAGAACAAACAAAAACCAATTCTGTTATTCTGAAGCAAGATTCTTTGAGCGAGTGCCGCGTACACAGCGAAGAATTCTCTGCCCAGAACCAATCAGACTAGACAAAAGCTCCACAGTACTTTGCTTATTTGCTAAGCAATTCTCTGCAGAGAATTGCTAAGCAATTCTCTGCAGCCCCTGTACACCTAGAGTCCTAACTGAGACCTTACATGTAACCTACGTTCACCGGTTAAGCAGTAAAATTTACTTACACTATCCAAGTGTTTGAGTGGCCACTTAAAATTAAAGCTGAAAACAGCTAGCAAAAAGCTGAAATGCAACAAGTTCCCATACTTTTGTACAGACCAGGTGTACAAACAAGCTGAAATACAGGACCAACAGCAACATAAAAATAGCTGAAATCAGCTAAAAAGCTGAATTCTCACACCTCTGAATACCACACGATTTCTGTACAAAATGTTCAAGCTCTTGGTCAACAGTAATCCTTAAATACCCCTTTTATCTGACACCCAACGAGACATGGCACATGTTTGCCGATGTTGAAATAGAAAATCGACCTGGTTCTTGCCCGTCGGAGGGTGGAGTTGTACCAGAGGCTTCCAGCTCTGTGCCGTCCGCGCCCAGCTTCCGGGCAATGCGATTGAAGCAGGCAGCGCAGCATTTGTTGGTAATCTGGTCCACCGGAAGGCCTGTGTTTATGGAAACGTAACACAGTCCGATATCACCGAGCTGACAAAATATTACAATGATTATTTTAAGGTTTCTGTATCTTGTCATTAAATCCTAAATTGCTCCATTTAGATGAAGAGAATTGTTTGAAGCCAGTACTTTTGAGGATGTCATTTTAAAAGATCTGAAAATGTCCAAAAAATAAGTTCTTTTTATTTCAAGGAAATGCTGGGAAATTTCAGACAGAAATTGGAAAGATATTGATAAGAAAATACATGACTTCTGCAGGGGTTGGGGGGAAAAACCATTGATAACTTACCAAGTTCCTCACAGATGCCTTTCTTGTGGTTGTGGGGAAGCTCTGCCCATTTGGCTGGTAAGCTCTTCAGACGTCTCACTCGCCTCCGTGGCGTCTTGCAGAATGGCATCGGACATCTGCAATAGAGAGGACTATACACTAACATTCCCTGGGCAAGTTTTTCAAAGCACGCACTCCACACTCTCCCGATCTCCCAACTTGACAGCCATTCTCACACAGGGAGAAGCTATTGCTGTACAAGTCTTGCTCAGGGACATTCACACAGTGATGCCTTAGGGGTTTATTTCAAACACAAATTGGCAGGTCTTCCAACTGCTCCTCTCTCATCCTCATATTATGTGTTGAACTTTTTCATTCACAAGAGCAGTTTTCTCATAATTACGTGCGTTCTATTTATAACCTACACATGCACATAAACTCCTCTAATCTATGGAAAACCATCAATCAGCACTCTGAAAATCGAACTTTTTCCCCAAGTCGTCATTCTCTTGGCAGCATGCCAATTCCTTCCACCTCCTTCCCAATGGAAATCAAGTCCCTCCCTATTGCCATTGAACATTTGCACTCATAAATTTGAAATGACATTTGACAGCTGCCGACGTGCTGCATATAACCACGTCAATCTTGTCCAATCAACACGTGAGGAGACAGCCCGTTTTAGCCACTAACTACTCAATAGACCCCGGCCTGGTCCCGCTTCTAAAAACCAATGGCAAGCGTGTGCTGAACACATGGAATCATTCTAGAAACGCTACGACGGCAACAGTAATTACAGATCATGTTTCCACTTGGCCGACGACGGATGATGCATTATTTAAGCCAGTGGCTGAGGCGGTCATTGACCAAGAAAATCTGAAAGGAATGAACTGTGGATATAAAAAGATCACCACAAGGAAGGAATCAACACAGCTTTTCAGTCAGAGCAAGGGAAGTTAAGCAGAACTATTGACCAGACTCCACAGCCACATGAGTTTATGACCTGCAAAAGTGGGCAATAACTCGAACTTACCGCCTGGTCATATTCATTCTAAAATCAAAGACAACACCATTATTTGTTTACTAGCACAGCCACTTTAATGGGTGAATATCGTACAGCTATATAAGGTGTGCTTATATGTGTCTCTCCCTGTAGTGCAAGAAGTCTGGGTCAGTGTGGACTCCCAACTCCCCCTCAAAGGACTTCGCAGTTCATTGCAACAGAAGGAACAAAGAATGGTAATCCTGCCAACCACAACAGATGTACCTCTATAAACTGCTCCAAAATGTATCATGAGTTTGTGCAGTTTCACTGACAGCCACAATCTGACCTTCCCAACCCCTGACCCTTGACCTGAGACACACCCTTTACTTCATTGCAATGATCCAAGTCTTGAAAAAAGAAGGAAAAGAAAAAGTGCCTTGGAACCCCATAGCCCGGCACAGAAAAAACATGTCAGTGATACTTCCCTCGAGATCTGATCGCTGCGCTAAAAACAGAACTGTTTAATCAATGTATCCCTGACCCCGTTCATACCCCGGTGACCCCATTTGGAATAATCTGGGTTGCTCTGGCAACCCACTCAACCGCAGGGTTCTGTCCGATTGCGATAAAATCATACTCAAACAAGGGGTGGGGCAAACCTCGGCAAGGGGAAGGAGGGATGACTCAGCATCAGGTAATTTCCCGTTTGCGTGCTCCAGGGGCCAAGGCACTTTCAACCTCCAGCACCCTTCCCCTGTACGTGCGGCTTGGCTCTCATCGGATCGGCGTACTAGCTGGGTCATGTCAACAAGCAAAAACAGGGTCAGCCTGCAAGGGGATGGGCTAGTCATGTAAGGGGATAAGCAGCGGTTTAAGCTCTAGCACACTTACAAGGTTTCATACCAGGTGCTATCTGAGGTACTTAAAAGGTTTCACACCAGGTGCTATCTGAGGTACTTACAAGGTTTCACACCAGGTGCTATCTGAGGTAGCCGCAGCGCCTTAATTCCATAACTGATCAGAGCCTAACAACAAAATGTTCACATCTTTTTAAAGGAATCCATCTCATGACAAATTCGCTGCCTTGAAATTAAGTGAGTAATAATCTCTTTCCATTCTAGAACCACACCCTTTCCAAACTTTTCCCCTGAAATATAAGTGGTCAAGGCATGACCATTTTGCTATCTTGACCCTTTCTCAACCAAGTGAAAATGAAAAATAATGCACTGTTTGGGTAAGAAAAAAACAGCAAGAGATTGTATGATGGATCCCTTGTGTTTTCTTATAGTATGCAGCTAACTTTCTGAAAATGATCATCATGATTTCTGTGCAAATGATGCATGTCAATTCATGAACCAAACTCTGAGATGTGGTCAAAATAATATCAGTAAAAATCCATCTTCAAGCTCAGTAGAAACCTTGACAGTGCAGAAACTTCCGGCCGATTTGACCTCACGCCATCACGTCAAAAAGCCTACCTCAGTTCAGTGACCTCAATAAATATCACCCAGGGTCAACCTCCATTTACAGGTCAGGTATTCATGGTACTGGCTAGAAGAAGACCAATCTGGACACCAGACAGGCAAGAATTGGAGGTCTGGGACCCGTGGCTTCATTGGATTCAAGTGATCATATTCTGCCCTGGGAATTTTTTAGGTCTCAAAAGGTCACTCCAATATCGCTTCTTAAACTGAATCAGTTTTAAAATTCTCTCCAGATCCAAAATTTCTTTTCGTCTTTCTCTGCGGGGGCATGGATGGGTCGGGAAACTAAGCAGGGAAACCAAGCAGGGAAAATTCCCAGTGTTTAGAACGGTAACACTGGAAACTGCATTACCTGGCAGTTCCAGGGGTAATCACTCTTCAATGTAATAAAAACTTGGTCATTTGAAGCATGTGGTGCCACATGAGGAGTACTGCAATAATCACACTGATTTTTCACAGGAGGTTCTTGAGTACATACAATTATAAAGTCAACATGGTAAGTGTTTCAAATACCACTATCAATGGTGAATGTCAATAAAAGGTTGGGTTATATCGTTAACTCCCAAGGGTTTTTTTCATGGGGAAAATATCCTTTTGTCTATTGGACTACTTACTGTAATGATGAGATTTTTGTCTTTTTCTCAAAGCTAAGTCTTATGCTAAAGACAGACAGCCAGAATTCCTGACAAAGTCCACCTTTAAGAAGACAGTACACCTTTTTCTTGGAGGGAGTCATCACAGGAAACCAAAAATTCAAAGATGGCAGGACGGAAGATTCCACAAACTTCCTGACCATTGGTGACATACATGTATATGCATCGTGACAAGCAAGGCACCACTGCCTCCTCAATTCAACAATTCACCCTTATCTGCCCCCTGCCCGCGATTTCATTGAATTTCCTGACTGGAGACACAACTCATTACAGGGGGGACTAACTCCCAAGCAAACATCCTTCTGGCAGCATTGAAACAATTTGCTTTTTCCCTCGTCCAATTAGGAAGGATTTTCACCCTGCTCAATTCTGGGCGAAGTCACTGACTTATGCCACACTATCATCCATCAAACAATCAAATGTAAAGAGTTTTCAGATTTTTCCAAAACTTCAAAAGAGGTACGAGGAAAACACTCGGCAACATGCTATCTGATCATTAAGATTAGGCATTGCACCCACAAATCTTACTCACTCGGACATATCAGGGCCAAGGTCACCATCCACAGAGCCTAAATCAACAAGAACTCCAACAAAACGAGTATATGACAAATCCTCTGACTTTGAGTTACACAATTTGTAGCCCGCACAATTCAGACAATTGATACAATACTGGTTAACTGAGACATTACCGCTTGAAAACATTAAGAGGTTGCAACAATGACACATCTAGAACTTCAGTGTTCGAAGGCAGCCATTATTCAAGGCACATTTATTGGGTCAAGCTCCAGCAATGACCACTTGTCAACCCCGGGCCACTTTTGACCGGTACCCAGATACATTTTTACACAGGCTACCAGAGAAAATCTTTCAATGATCAATGAGCAGTCGTTCCTGGAATTTAAGCGATCTGTCCCGTGATTTCATTGAAAGGTAACAAAACACAGGAATCAACTTGCTCCTTTTACCCTAAAAGTCCTGAATCCTCCAACAGGAGAAGGAAATGATGGTTGTCAGAAATGGTCCCATTCACCTGTTGCATAGAACCTTATTCTTTAAAACCTCTTTGTTTGGAGCAAGTGGAGGCCACATTTGCTTCAGATGTTACAAAATTAGGAACTCCATATGCACACAGATGATTCACACTATAAAAAGTGATTAGCCATTCAAATTGCAGATGATACACACTGACATTGTTTTCAAGCTCATTTTTGATTGGTTCAACTATCTCTTATGCTCTACTTTCTACTAAGTGGCTCTACTAAGTGCCCCTGCCAGTTCTTGTTACCTTGAGCTCCGATTCTGTGGCCTGTGACCTCTGACCCACCTGCGTTTGATGGACCGGCAGCGGCAGCGACTGCACACCCTCATGTTGGGGGTGACCTCCGTCTTGTTGACCCCAAACATGTCGCAGTTGCTTTCGTTGACGGGCCGGCTCAGGCTGTAGGTATCTAGCTGGTTCTTACACAGGGAACAGGTGTTCGGGGAGGCTGAGATAAATAGGGGAAACAAATATCAGTTGAATTGCTACTGAATATTCAAATTCTCTGCTTCCTAAATATTCAGATTCATTGCTTATTGAATTTTCAAAAACTCAGTTTACATTTAAATGACCAAAACTAAATGTAGTTAAGTACAGACATCTTTAAAAATAGTTAAGAAAAAATTTCGGGTGACCAAGACATACGTTGAATGCTAACTTCAAGGTATTCTCAGACACTTCACAGAATGGAAATCAAACTCAACTTAGTATTCAAATTAATATTCAGCAGGAATGCATACTTAATTAAGTCCTCATTACAATGAGTCAGTTCTGCATTTCAAAATAGCAGGGTCATTCAAGAACAAAGCATGCATGCAAGTCTGTGCGCATGTTCAAACCAAGTGGCTAGGGCTAGGTAACACGCGTGTCTAGGGGAAGTAGCTGCTGCCTCTATAAGTGGCTCTATTAAGTGCATTACTGTTAGCCGTAGCCCGTCCTAGATGACCAACTATATGTACTCACAGTCAGAGGCTGACTGGTCTGTCTTGGCTGGGGTGCTACCGTTCCTGTCCTTACTGCCGTTGCTGCTCCCCTCGCCTTTCTCACTCATCATCTCGCTCTTCTTGTCCTTGCTGTCCACCTCCATCTTGTCAGACTCCGCCTCCTCCCCTTTCTCCTTTTTTGCCTCCTGCTTGTCCTCTTTGAGGTCCTCCTTGGTGTCTTTGGGCTCTTCCTTGACCTTGTCTTTATCTTTAGCCGACTTGTCTTTGTCCTTTGACCTGTTGAACAAACAATTATAACAAACCTTTGTACTTATCTGACACTCTGACAATTGTTACACACTGACTTCTTGACTCAAGTAAAGGGCCAATGTGGAAGTGCGGTGGCCTGTGGAACCTCCTGGACTGATCAACATGACTAGATTGCATACTCCCATAAAGAATATATCAGTTCAACCATGTTCAGATCAAATGTTCTCCATGCTGCACACCTACTCACAGCATACACACAATGTGTTGGCCTTACAAGACACTGTTACCAAGTACAATACTGCCCTCTGCAGATCATGCATGAAGCCAATAAACAAGTCCTTCAAATGTGCCTATTAGCATAAGATTCCTGTTTGATATCACCCAGCGTCTGACTCTAGAAATGTCTACGGCGCTGCTTGACAGCTGTATTAAGGCTTTCGTGAGTTAACTTTGACCCAAATCTGGTACACTGAGTTCTTTAAATTCACATGAACTTCAATTCTCCACACTAAAACCACTGTTGCTATACCTTGGGATTTGGGGAAAGCTTTTGCTGAGTTACATAAGAGACGCCTTGCAACAATACACTGTTCTCAATGAATAAGAAGGGTACAAAGGAACCAGTCCATTCCAGAAATGGTGGTCGCTATGCAAAAGCTTGCCCCGAATCACGAGGTAAAACAACAGTGTCTTTAGCCTGGGGAATTCAAATCGTTTATGGGCAATCAGATAACTCAGTGTACCAGATTTTATTTAAATTTAACTCGCAAATGCCTTAGATGTGGAAGTTTCACCGACAATTGCTTCTCACAACTCCTCTCTTCCTGGACTTGACTGTACAACTGGGCACTGGCAACCAATTGTTCACCAGTATGTTTAAGATCTCGTCTGTCTCTTGTCTGTTATCTGTTATACAATTGTTGACCAGACAAGACTCCTACTAAGGAAGACTGACAAATGAAGACATGAAATGAAGAGAGAATTACTGGCTGATGACTTAGGCCTTTCCATGCTAAATTGGTGTCTCAAATATCTGAAGCTTCTTTCAAGACAGACTTCTGTGTTGAAAAAGGATCACCTCATTTAAAAATCCATGAGCACACTGTCAGGCGTTGCTTTTTGTAAGCTTGCCTAACAGCCCTGCACAACAGACAAACCGGGAGAGCAGACTCGAGGAAACCAGGAAGAGTGTGGCCTCTTGTATTGTCCATAGGTATGCACGTATATGATGCATAGCTAGGTCTTCATGGTGCTTAATGCTGTCATAACAGAACAGTATAAAGCAGACTTCCTTCATATTCACTGTATTCAGGACAACGGCATCTTTCTCACTTGATTTTGGTCTTGCTTTGTAATGCTGTGCCCTCTGGGGGGGCCGATGGTTTTTTGCCGCCTGGACACGTCTTGCAACGCAGCCAGAGACGCAGGGGGGTGAAAGAGGCGAATTGGAGGTCTAGTTCTCCCTGAGGAGAGACGAACTTGCGATGCCCCATAAAAACAAGGTTCAAGGCCCACGAGCACTGAATGCAAACAGCAACTGTTATGATTTTTTCTCACGTGGCTTCACATGGGAGTTGTGTAAGGCACGTAAGTGGAGCTCAGCATGTTGAACTTACATTAATAACATAATGGCCTGGGAAAGTTGTGTTTATTTCGACAGCTGTAAGGCAGGTGATTTGTTTGAAGTTTACAGCTGGTGTGCTTGCTGATTTTAAGGGGAACATTTTGGGGACAGTCTATGGCAAGCTTAAAGACATCTAATGCAGCTCCTCTAGGCTTTTGATGAACCAAAAAATATATAGAAGTAATCAAGAGCGGATCTCAGCCGGAGTCTAGCCAGTCATACTCCCTAGGGCAGGGCATGAATGATGTAAATTGAAAGCAGCCAACAGCGACTGATTATCGGGTTATTCATAGCCTGTGCTGGCAAGGCGCCAGCCTAAACCACAACAGGGGATCTATTAATGCAGGGTTCGAAGGGGATATCCCTGATTAATAATGTAACCGGCTGCGGGTACCAGTTACGGCCATGTAGACATTTATAGCCTCCCGTGTTGGGGAACTTTTAAGCATGCTGGCTGGCAAAACATGACAAGGCCTGCCACCTTTGCACATGTTGTTTAGTCGGTGATTGGAGTCACAGCTGCACGACAGTATTAACTAGGATTTAAGAGTCTTTAACTTCAATGAATAAACACACAATCAGGATGGGATCCTTGCAAGAATAGCTCGCTGGTTCCATTTGAAACTAAACTTGCACATCCTTCCAAGTAAGGATTATCCCTCATCAAACAACTGAAAATGTGTCTTCAAATGTAGATGTTTACTTGGACAAGTCAACTTCTGTGGTAACATGCCAATAACATGGCAGGACTTGTAACCACATATAAAAATTACGTGCAGTGCCCTGTGTTTATGAGTTGTCAATATTCCTGAGCATTCATCAAATACTTTACTTTCTAACAGGACTCTTTATGTGAGCAAACCTACAGACATCATGATGACTGGTCACAATGTGGCCAGGGTACAATTGGAAGTGTCTAATAACTCTTGCCAATGGATGCCACATGTTCCTAATCTCATTTTTTTCCCCCGAAACCTACCAACGGCATCCTCTGTGACAAGACATGTCCCTAACCAGAAAATGCGACAATCTGATGTGCCGAGGGCAATAAGGTCAGGGAGGTCAGGTAACAGAAACGCCAGCCAGCAGGATGTGCCAGTAACTGCAACTTAACTCACTGGTTGAATAAGAAAATTGACACTAGACAAAGATATTCCCTTAAAGGTGCTGAAATAAGCTCTCTGATTTCCATTGGAAACCCCCGATTTAACCTTTGCAACCAACATCAATTCATCTGACCTGCACGACCAATGCCATTCGTTATCACCTCCCAATCAAAACCAAACATTTTGCAGAGTTTACGCAGTCTGATTTGCAGGCTAAGGAGTACCGCTAACCAAAGACGAGAGAGGCCCTGGTTTTTGCTTTAACAATTTGACCTTTGCCAGAGTTCATAGGCATCTATGGTATTCCTCTCTGCCCTCGTCGGAACCCGTTTATGCTCCTAGGGGAAACATGATTTGCCCAAGGACACAACACATGCCCTGTTGCTAGATTCAAACCCTGTAACCCTACACCCAGGAGCTACAGACCCTGATCACTACGCTACACATCCTTCGTTTCTTGTGCCGGGAAACACTGCCGATAGTGTTCGACTGTCAGCCTGGCCTGTCTCTTTGTAACCTACGAGGGCGCCCTTGCGCACCGAGGGGCTAAGAACCAGCGACTGAGACTTACTGGTCTGAGGATTCCTCAGCGTCTTTATCCTTCTCCTCCTTCACCTCAATCTCTGCCTGTTGTTGCCGGGAGACCGACGCCTTCGGAGGGAAGCCCTTCTTCCGTTTGTTGACGTGACTCTTGCGTAACATCTGTTTGTAACTCTCATTCTTCTTTGTCTGGTAGTAGTACAGGACGCAATCCGCGATGCTCTGGATTTGAAAGACCAGGAACAATTTAGCAGAGTGCCTTGGTGAAACCATGAAATCTTGAAACTGTACGAACGAGATACTGTGAATTTTTAAACCATATCTAATTTATAGAGCCTGCAAGTTGACCCCTGATGGCGCGCTTCCAGAACCCTTGGTTGGGAAAAATAACGTGCAAAGATTTTAGAATTTGTAATATTTTTTTGTTTAGTTACTTCTTAAAAAGTACTACTCGGAAAAGGGGCTCTCGAAAATATTTGCTCGTATATCAATAAATAGAAACTGAAAAATCACCTGACCTAAAAGAGAAATATCCTGCCAAAAATTGACCCATCACTTCCGAAAATCTTAAAATACATGAAGAACAGTGCAATAAGGCAGTCTCGTATGCAGATGAAAATTTACGGTTTGAAGTTTTACAGTAGTCCGTTTTATGGTAGACCTTTCACTTTCAGGCTGTATTGAATAACAGTAACGTTGTGACATGGATTGCTGATGACAGGATGCAGCCTAGTCGGCAAGGTGTCATTTAAACCTTATCTATAATTATCTACAATTTTGGTACATTTGAAAAATAGTCACAGGGGAAGCATTCCACAGTGTTTCAGAAATTTCAGAAACTAACATGAAAGAACTCAGTATTCATAACAGAAGTTTGAATTTTAAAGTCCCCAATCCTCCAATTTCAATATGATTTTACAAACACCCAAAGGAGTAGGGTAAAAGTGTTTCAAATTCAAGCTTTCACTTTTCCAAAAACACCCCCGTAATATAGGCCATTGCTGAATGGATCCAGAGACACATTCAAGAGTGGACCGAGAACAGATGAATGGGGCGGTTGGTAAAGCCAACTTGGGGGGGGGCTGCATGACAAAGACTGAGCACGATACCAAAATAACAAATCTGCTGACATCCAGTGAACTTAACAAGCCAATAAACATGTTTGAAGAAGAGTATAAACTTGTAGTATTTTCATTGGACCTTGAAATAGGTAGGAAATTGCTCTCCTGCAATTAACTTCAGTTTGATTACACTGGATTGCAATGTGACTTCTGTGGCAAAGCTGGCAAAACTTCAAATCTGCTCCAAAATCAAAAGGAAATTGGGGATTTAGCTGCTCTGCCCAACCACGTCCTAATATGGCCTTGAGGGTAATAAATGTCTCCTGGCAAGTTGCCAAGGACGGGCACATCTCATCCTCAACTTACAAGTCAGCTGGAATTATGATTTATTTGCTGGGAGGACAGAAGGGAGATTATGTTGGCTCCGGAAATATATCCACCATTTGCACACTAGGGGATCTTCTGATTAAATCAAGAGTTTTAAAGTCAGATGACTGGAAGAGATGATGGGTTTGCGTAATTTCTTACAGGACTGCAGAATACCAGTTAGTGATGACTAAATTAGACATCTTAATTTCAAGGTCTGGATGTATTTTTCATTCACAGAAAAATCTGACAAGCGAGGAGGAAGCTTGGAAAATTTCTGATAAAATTCAGAATTGAAAGGGATTTGGGAAGAGTGTGTCAGGCTTTGCATAATCTGTGCAGGGTATTTGTTTAGAGGGTCAGATTAGTGATTGATAGCACTTGAATGAAACTAAAAATGACCCTACTTTAAAGGTGGACATCCAATGTATCTGCTAGTTAGACATGTGCATTCTCTTCATGCAGCATAACCACAAATGTTATACTTCAGAGCAAACTCAGAAGGCGTCAAACATTACCTAAAGATTTCCAACATACACGGCTGCATATTCTGTGAAATCACAACCGCGTTCAACAGAATAAATCTATTGATTGCTCGCTCCAGAAAATGACAACATAATAAAGCAAGCGATGAATTAATGAATTGATCAATCAAGGTACCGGTAAACTGTCCATTTCTTCCCTACCTTCCTCTCAAGAAAGGAAGCCACCAGTTGGAAGTTCTTGGGATGAAGAATGAACTTCTCCCGGAAGATTTCCTTCTCCTCGTCGTCCCAGATGTTGATCCGCAACCGATCTTTATGCTCCTTCAGGGGATCTTCAACAAGGCCTTGGGGAGATTAAGTCACAGGCTGGTCCGTTAAAACTTCCATAAGTAACCAACATCCGCTTGACAGCTATTCATAGAGCCACTCCGGATGTACTAAGGTGGAAAGCTTGCGGTAGCACCGTGCAAGGATACGATCTCTTTCTGTGAGTCTGTATGGTTCTGAAAAGGACCGTGAGGAACTCTTCCTCACAGTTTTTTCAGAATCATACAGACTCCCAAAGAGATCGTATCCTTGCATGGTGCTGCCGCAAGCTTTCCACCTTAGTTGTCTGTCACCATGAATAGCTTGAAATCCCACTCCGGATGTAATAGCAGAGAGCTTCCTAACAGGGCTGGCGGCTATGCTATGCTTTGTGCCCAATACAAGGCATACATGTGAAATCTAGAGATTTCCTGTAATCAAAGTCATGCAATGCATAATCTGCAGATTATCGTGTTTCGGCCACGTGGCTCTCTGACCTGCCATAGGCAAAAGTCACTGTTTTTTATGACTCAAAATATCAATCTATGAAAAATTATAAAATTGAAAGCATAATTTTTGATGTAGCTTCATAAAGTTTCCTTAAATTTTAGAGAAAACACTTGAAGGAAGTAAAGCAAGTTAGCTTTGAAGTGATGTTTCGGGAGGGAGGCTGTGTTTCTATACCATTCTTGTTGATGAATTTGACTTTTCGCTGCTCTGCATCGAAAAGGAGAGGCGGTACCACGGCCAGACTGCGGATGTGTCTGTCGTTGGCTTCTTGTTCATTCAAGCCGTCTACAATCTCCGCCAGCTCGGCATCGCTGCGGGCAATGTTGCCCCAGCTGCTCCGTGTTCCCGCTCTGGGAACCAAAAAAAAAAAACCAACAACAAAAAATAAACCCAAAGTATTATCGCAGCGGAAGGTGTGCGGTAACAATTCCCTAGTTGTGCGGTAACAATTCCCTGGTTGTTTGCACGTGACAGATTTCCACTTTGGTAATATCAGCAAAGTACAAGAGCAGATTATGTTGATCCGACTTCAGAAAACCGCAAATAATATTATCAATAAACCAAGACAAAATGTATCCAGAACCATCTCTTATTTTACAACTGACAGTCTTGAACAATTTCATTGCAAATCTAATTCACTGCCAGGATCAAGGAACACTGTTAACAGTTTATATAATGGGTTTTGCCCTCACCCAGCGTATATTAATAAGCACTGTATACTCAGTGCTTGTCTGAGGGCTTGCAAAAAATTCACAAACTTACTTACAAGCTTACTTACGAGTAAGCTTGTGAATTTTTTCGCAATCTCTCGGACAAGCACTTAGTATACAGTGCTTATTAATATACGTTGTGTAACGGCAAAACCGGTTATATAAATTAACATCTCACCAACGCAAAATACATCTTGAAAATTGTTAACAGTTGCACAATGACTAGCACAAGCTTCATGATGAACTGCTTGACAGAAATTCAACCACAGCATAATCCACACCAATTGGAACTTATCATCTCTTGCTATCAACTCGCAATAACTTTAATAATATCTCAGGAAATGTTTCCTTAACACATCAGGTTTCAAGCTCAGTGAATGACAACTGCGCAAGCCAGAATGCTTCAGACTTTGGGGGTCATACTGACGAACTTGCCGACCAGAAATGGACATCCCTTATAGCGGTAACAATCATGGGCAGGTGGTAGGCACATTAACGGCCTCCTCAACCAATAAAGAGGCTCTGATTTGCCATAGTGCATGCACGCCTTAAGTTCTTGAATGCGCGCATGAGTGTAATGCCACCTTGGTCTTGGCGCCAACCCAGACAAGTCCACACGAGGTGTGATTAACGTTCTGGAATCTTGCTTGCTCAAGGCTCCTTGCCAACTTGACTGCACTGAACATTTGATTGCAATCTTGGCAAGCTCCTACCTGGAGAATCTCTCTTGCTGTTCGCGCTGCTTGCGGATCTCGGGAAATTGCTTCTCAAAGTACTCCCGCACCTTGGCATCTTTTGCTCTGCGAAAAAAATAATAAAAACAGATTCTTTGCACACATCCCTTCTCAACAACACTGTCCTCTCAATCACGCACCTTTGAACAGTTCAGAGACCTCTGCCTTCATAAAGCAGAAATGACTGGCAAGGACTGTTGACATGACCTGAAACAGCTGATGGGTAAGCCAGCTGTGCCTACCAGTCACCTGATTTTGTCCTTTGATTGAATTTGGGTGGTCACAATACTAACCTGAATTATGATCTGACTGTTGGCAACTACAATGTGGAAGGGGAAATTGCATGAGATCTGTGATTGTCTGTGATTGTCTTTGACTGTTATGACCGAAAGAGGGTTCACAAGAGTCACAGCCAATCTGTTAAAAGTATCAATGAAAGAAGACTCCTTATGGCTATGTCTGATGAGCTTCCGGGGCGATGGCTACCTCTGATGTCAGCAAGTGATAACACATTAGCAATCAGCAACAACCCGGACCTAGCCCTAGACACAAGATTTTGGACACAGCCCACCTATAAGTGCAGACACCAATGGGGACGAACAGCCTTGAAAGTTTCCTCATGTGCAGTACTTTTTGCGATTTCAGTACATACATGTGATCAAGTAATGCAATATGCTACAGGTTTTCTTGATGGTGAGGGAGCAGTATTAAGCCCCTCTGGAAAAAGAATGTCAAATTCATAAGCGCTTACTTTCTCTTAGGATTGTTTTCAAGTTGTTCCATCCTTTTCTCCCACTTGTCAAAGAGGTAATCATATCGCTGGCACAGATATCTCTCCTGTGATCAGAGAGAAAGAACAGTTTGCAAATATCATGACCGTGAGACACTGGCAGAGAATTCAATACGACCAAGGCCCTCTAATAAAGGGTTCATATTGTCAGACTTTTACTAAGGAACATATTTGTTACAACTTTCTCCTTTTAACTGTGAAAGCTATGAGGCCTCTCTTTTTTGAGTTACTCTCATTGAAAAGCACACATTTTAACAAGGTAACGGTAAGTTCATCACATAACCGAATCAACAAAACATGAAATCCGGAAATGTTCTTGTCTGCTTCATATGCGTGCTAAAGTTGCTTATTTTGCGTGTAAAGCGGAGCCAAGATTAACCCGCCAATTACCAAGGCCTCCTGTTTTACGACACTGTAAAAAGTGATCACATGGAAAAAACCGCATTAAAATTGGCCTTGAAATGAGCACAGTACACATGTGGCAAATAAGTGGCTTAAGAAGAAATCCTTAATCATTAGTGTATCCTTGCCCGAGTCTCACGATATTGGAGTAGCTGTTCAAAGCTGTGTGGATGGAGCAACAGGTGGCGAGGCAAGGGGTCAGCGTACTTTTCCTACCCTCTAATGCACTCCCAGTGGGCCAGCAAAGGATGACAACTTTGTTAGTGATTCAAAGTCTTGCGTGCCGTCTCTCCTGGGACTTTTTGAATGGAGGGGCAAGGACATTTCATGAAACACCAGCCAAGTAGCAGTCCACTTGCTGATTAGGAGGAACTTAGGCAAAGTTAAAATTTTATTTGTCAACCCACGACCTGCTGGTGTTGTACATATAAAAATATTAAATAGGGGGTGTCTCAGTGAACTGTCTCAGAATTTTAAAATTATGCATGTGGCCTTCAACAGTAAAGCAGGGAAGGTTTAGGTCCTTTTTACTCACATTTGCATTAAATCATAGGGTGTCCTAAAACACCAAGACATCCTTTCTAGCTAAATTAGGGTGTGTCAGTTGTAACCTGTCTCCTCTATATACCTCAGTCAAATGAAAGTCATTCTCAACGATTGGTTGAGCTTTTGTGAGCTATTTGAGGAAGAACAGTTCTGATTTACAGTGCTTGGGTGACAGTTCTGTGCCAATTTAAGTAATTTTTGCCCTTAGCTAACCATACAAGTTGTTCATGTAACAGTGGGTTGCCAGGTATTGACCAAAGGGTAGGCATCAACAAGTTTGTAGCTACTTAGCAATCCTCTTGATGTGCAGAGGTACACAAATAATACACACCCTCATTTTCCTTGCGCTGTTCCTTCGTTTGAAAAACAGAATGAGCTTCCTCCGCATCTCCAAATTGCTGGGAAAGGAATGAACAAGATCAAGAGATCAATAACGTGCATGTTAACTGCAGAGTGTGACACCATCTTGGAACTGTAGAGATCTTTGCCAAGCCATACAATGGGTTTGTTAGATTTGGCTAGATTCAAGTTAGACAAAAGAAAAGATTGGAGGTAAATGTCCACATTTTCTCTTATGTACAGAGAACTTGTAACTGGTTTACAAAAAGTCAAGGGGGGAAATCTTGCTCAATGTATGAGCTGTAAAAAAGAAGACTGCCGAGAACCAGTCGCTGGCAATACAACCTCTACAATATTTGGCTGGTAACCGACTTTTTGCTGAACATTTTGATCTGGTGCTCAGCACATTTCCGAACTCTAGCAGTTCAATTAACTTGGCCCTCGGCACTGTCACTGTCTGCCTGGAATGCTCTGATTGGAATCCCATCCTTGACATCTCTGTACCAGGCAAGATATGGGACAGAGGGGTACCCCCCTTACCTGTCCAATCCCTATACACACTGCAGACTATTGTTACCTAACACATCCCCCCCAGAAGTCTGTAAAGAATTCCTGAGATTTCGATCAAACCATGACCAACACAAAGGCGGGGAGGGGGGGAATTCTCTCCGTCCCATATCTTGCTTCAAATGGACATGTCAGGAAAGAGGCCTCCAATTCCTACCTGGAGGCAATAACTTTCCTCAAGGAGAAAACAAACCATGAATCTCTAGGCCCCCAACAAGAACGATGAACGGAAACCTAAATGAAATTGCACAAACAGACTTAATCTTAGGCAGTGACAGATTCATCCTTTAATTCATGCTTCATAATCCACAGGATGACATCATTCAGACTCATACTTAGGGAAGTCGGATGACTAGCTAGAACATGGCGGGGAAAGACATGATAGATATCCATCAACGAACACTGAGACAACAGTTATACCCATCATCGTGGTCATGTCTTGATTGATGGATACTGATGACAGACACATGTCCAAGATTATATAGGATTCCTGTGGGGATATGCGACCTTGGAGGTAGCCTGCTGTTCCGCTGATCCGGCTGTTGACATTTGGCTTGAGGCTGTGCCATAAGATCGAGCGTGTCACTCTACCCCTCCCAGCCAGGGAGTACATGTACATGGGACACAAATAATAGGGGAAGGGTATACCAAAGCATCCCATCCACGAGAATATCTGGGGCAGGTGCAACAGCACAATACGGGTACATATGCCATTCCCTGTATCTTCAACAGCAAACTTAAGTGAAGACACGGCCAGATGGGGCCTACTCCAGCTACGCACTGCATTACTTAAAGCGTAATCCCGGATATTATCAAAACCAAAGTCTAGCTGCTATTTATTTACTTATATCTGTTGACCAACAGTTGTTACCCGCCCCTTGCAGGCAAGAGAAAATCTCTGAATTAAATAATGTACCAATAAATTATAAAAATCATAAAATTAAAAAAAAATTCAACATTGGTATGTACTCGTGCAAAGTTCTTGAGCATAAAAGCATTGCAAACTTTGTACATCAGCCCCTAAATCCTTTCATCTCACAAATCTGACTAACTTTTTGTGTTTACGAAACAATAAAAGAACAAAGTCCACAGGACTTCAGATGCAAGTGCCAGCTCAATGAAGGTTATGCACATGGTCCCCTGCACACATCAGTGTCATCTGGCCTCTCTCAACACAGAGGCCTTTCTGTGGCTGGGGAAATAACCTCAAGGTCATTGACCTCCTCCCGAAGCAGTCTGCACTGGTTGCAGTCAAGCGTATGGCGTCAACTTCAATTTTGTCTTGACACACTGACGTTGAGCAAAACAGCTTGTAAGTCCTGATTTCTGCACTCAACATTCTTGTAACATGTACATATAACTTCCAGAGGGATTGGGCACAAGTGGGACTTTCATACACTAAGTCTGCAAGGACCATTTTATGTAAGACATTACCAACTTTGTCATCCAAGCATGCTCCTATGAGCTATTCAACATGTATCAAAGCTGATTCACCGTCTCGTATTAATGTGGTTGTTGGCAGTTTCCCAGGCCATTTTCCAAAATATTTAACGGTGACAGTAAACAAGATCAGGATCTGGTTCCTGAAACCCCTTGCTGTGCGCTCTCTGATGGCCTGCAGGCTCCACAAGCTACGACTTTGGCCTCCTTCAAATTTAATGACTGGCAGAAATGGAAACTGGCAGTCAAACGAGAGCTCTGATTGGCTCCACGCTGTAAACCTTGTGTACTCACGTTTTAAGATTCTCTTGATACTGCTCACTGTCTGAAGGCTGGTTGTACATTGGCTAAAAGTTGAAACAAAGAGAAAAGTAAAACAGTCAGGGAATGAACGTCAATACAACTGTCATTAGAGAAATAGATGCTTACAAGTCCAAGCGTACACTGAAAACAATCAATTTAAGATTGAGCCCAAATATCTAATTTCTTTGATATCTGGTGAACATATAAACCCGAGGTGTTTACCGATATGAAACTACAACTGTAAACAAGTTGTTCCTTTTTCAACATTCTGTAATAACATTGTTTCTTTATGGTCTAATTATGATGTATGGAAATAAACCTAAACCTAAACATTTGTTAACGTAACAGTTGCTCTCACAAGAAAGATTAAACATAATTTGGGAAAAGGGAAAAAGGGAAATAAACCAGACTGGAATACGAAGTACGCAGCTTAACATGGCTTCTTCGCCTTCTAAACAAGATTTTAACTCCAAGGAATAAAGAGTGATATGTCAACACACTGGGATAAAGAAGGACGCATTCATCTGTTTTCTTTCTTTTCAGTTTCCTGAGATAGGTAAAACCTAAAATAGACAAGAGTCGGTATCATGGACAGCATTCCCTTACATTTCCTCGCAACCAGTGACAGACGTAAAGGTCAACCCACTAAATTTACACTAACCGAACGGCGAGTTTACCTTTCAACCCTAAATGAGCGCATCTCCCCGAGGAAACAGTTCAGTGTTACGCCCAGGCTACACCCCTCACCCAGTGACAAAGTCAAATTGGAGTTTACCTTGGCCAAACTAAGCGTACATCCTTCTTCAGGATGTCAGGATCAAATCTGTAATCTGATAAACCTTCAATGCCAGTTGTCCTGCTTCAAACACATTCCTATACAAAATCTCTTGTGGTGGGAGGGGGGTTCTTGTTTGTTTTGTTACTTTTTGGCCGATTGTTCTGTAGAGAGACTTTCCTTAATTCTGTGCCAAACTTTACAACGTTAACACTGTCTTGATAAACAAATTTTGTCATCACTTTTGCAAAAATTGTGCTGTTTTGTTTATTTGGCATAGCTAGGAAATTTACTTAGCTGTCCTTGGGGTGAATGTTAGGGAACTGCTAAGTACAGAGCTTGCTAAGCATAAAAAATTCTTGCCTGGAATGAGCAGTTCATAGGCCAGAATGTAAGGAAGTGCATTAGGTTTGCACTGGGCTTTTAGCTGATTTGTGCTTGTTGTGCGAGCTTGCTAAGAAAGGATTTTTCCCTTTGTAGTTTCATGAAATTGGAGCCTGATACCATTTAGTTTTCGTCAAAGGCAAGAGTGATATTTCAAGTTTCATTAACTCTTTTTGACATGTGTCCCCTTTTCCTTTAAGCACAATCCACCATGAAGACGCTCTCATGCCTGAATCTTGACAACCGAACAAACTTCCATACCAAGGGTTGTAAAGGTCAAAGGTCAAGTCGTAGCATTTCTGTTACTGCTGTACCCCATCCCTAGAACATGAGGAAATCCCCAAGTGAAAAGCCATAGGTTCAATGACCTCAAGGTCACTGACTGGCTTTGGTCCACTGCCCCATACCAGCTGGCTAGCTAAGTCAGCGAGGGTCAGGACCTATTGACCTAACTGATTGTTTCTGACACCACTTATAAAATCCACCTGACAATACAGGCAAAACACACACGGCATGTACGGAAAAGAGAAAACTATTATAATTTGACAACACACTACCAAGGTAAAGTTGAGTATTTTCTGACGAACTAACTTTGAAGTTGATTACACATTCCTCACACGATCCCATCTTTAAAACTTTCCACCCCCTACCCAGGGGGACTGCTGCCTAAGACTGGCCCATCCATCATTCATCCTGTGCGTGCCAACGTGGGTCCCCGGGGACAACTAACCTGGACTATTACTAGGGATACCCTGATCAGCCTTGAATCACTACCCCAGATAACATCATGGCGTTTCCTTATTAGATTACGAAATGGATGAATAGGAGAGCGTGAAAACCGAGATCCTAAAGGGGAGGGGAGTAAAAAGTAACGCTTACAAGCTGACTTAAATAATCTGTGAATTAATATCGAATGCTGCTCACTGCATGTCCAGTTTAAAATTTCATGTGGACACTTTTAACGGTTTGACTAATAACAGTTCTTGACATTTAAACCGTAGGTTCCATAGAGTGCACAAGGCACTGTGGCTTGTGGACCTCAAGGAGCTTGAAGAGAGAAGCCGGTAGTCAATTTTAGAGTCAGAGAGGAAATCCCTGACAATCGAGAACGCAATGTTCAGCGTACTTCAAAATTCTACTGAATAAACAAAACCAAACACAGGCTGTGATTCTTTTGGCAGTTCAATGACCGTAGAAGTCGCAGGCTAGACAAACTGTTTTGGTATTGTTTCTCCTCATCAGTAATCCCGTAAATACCCTCGTGCCAAATTCCCGAGCCAGGGCTTAGAGAGTACATCTCCAGCAATCAATAACACGTCAGAAGACGTACTCTCAGACACACGCACGCCCCCTTCTCCTAATTCTACTAATCTCATTTAACCCAATAAGGATGGGGATGATTTCCCCCCACCCCAAAGGATCCTTACCGCTTTTCCTACCCCCCTACCCCCTTCCAGGGCCATTCATTTCTTGTCCGTCAGGGATCTCATGTACTGTGGTCTCCATAGCTCCATGTTTAAATTAGATTCCGATGATTGTGAATTTAGATGTTAAAGTGCGGTTGGATTTTCTATTTTTAAACAATGGCTGTGAAATGGGCATGTATGAGTACGGCTATGGATTGTCAGTGTGAGATGTAATGTCTGAAGCTACAGTCACAGCCACAAGAAAGTGTGTTTCAATTCAGTCTAACTCTCTTCAGAAAGTGGAAATCAAGTACTGGTTTGCAAAATTGATATCTTCTCCATGTCTAGGTTTAAACAGGAGAAAAATTTTATCTTTCGAAGAAATATTTGATCAGAACTACTAACAAAAAAGCAGGGGTACTCGGGCATCCACATTACACACCAATCACTGATGCTACATGTATATGTATGTCCTAAAAAAAAAACATTTACAGGGTCAGCTCAGCAAACAAACCCTCGTGAAATATCACGGTGTATTTACTCAGAAGGCCACCTGTCTAAGACAGAAGCACTGAGCGAGCTGCTACACAAATCCACTGGCTCTCAACAATTCTTCTGTATACTACAAAGCACCCTATTTCACTATCACTGCCGCCTCCTGAACGATAACACGCCAGAATTCATCTCCACTACATTCATCTTCACAGAATTCAATCATCTCACGATCCACATCATTCTAGGACAGTGTCAGCTTGCATAGATTAACCTTTATTAAAAGTACACATCGCCACAGCGACATGTTCTGCAGTCTCATATCCCCATCTCTACCATGAAATATCCGTTACACAAGTAGGTCATATGACACCATGGCTCCTTTATCTGAACTTCGGTTGCCGGAGGCTATTTGGAATTGTTTTGAAGGTCTACATGGCATAATGCGATGAGTGATTTTTTCCTCTTCTCTATCAAAGAGATTCTTATTCAATTTGTTACGGCACTGGGAACTATGATAGCATTAGATTTTCCTGCCTTTTATTTTTATCGGACAAGTGCGCACTATCTGGGATCCTCAAGATGACCCTGTAAGGATGACTTTTGAAGAAGCCTGCAAGGGAGGAGGGCAATAAAGTGGCCTATTTCTGACAATTTAATGGACGGGGTCACAAGGTCAATGCACCTCAAGTCAACTTTGCCAACATTTGAAGGTTCAGAGCATGCGTTCAACAAAAAAGCTGAGGAATGCAAGGTTTCAGATGTAAACTGCGACATTAAAAACAGTTGGCTCTAATCATGAGCTACCAGCGAGAAAGAAAAGTTCTATTTAGAACTGCATTAAACAAAGTAAGTAGCTCCAATAAAGTGTCCTTTGATTAAACTTAAGCTACTGTTTAACATTTGCCAGCAGGAACCCTGGAATGGGGGGCATAAATGACAGAGGCTTTTGGATAAGCTTCCCGGGGCATACTGTTGGATATGCTTGAAACACACCTTGGACGTGTGCTGGCCTGTTTAGGGGTTTCACGTTGGATATTATTTGGCCCAGCTTTGGGGGTTAGTTTTTGGACACGATTTGGCCATGCTAAAGGACTGCTTTTTGCACATAATTTGGCCATGTTATAGGTCTAATTTTTGGACAAGATTTGGCGGTGTTTATAAGGACTAGTTTTCGGACATGATTTCGACCTCACTTTGCTCCAACGGCAGCAACAAAACCAAAACCTTGACAGACCAGCCCTTCTGCTCCTAACAAGGTGGTCCAGTACCTAAGGTTTTGCTCAACCTGCCTGTTTCATCTTATCTCCACAGAAAGCTCCTGCAAAACCCATCAGGTAAGAGTAGGCTAATAACAGATTCTTTGTGCTGCAAACACACACAGTCTTCAGGGATGACTGCTCTCGACAGTGAATACTGGAATCCAGATGATGGACTTTTCAAAAACAGGATTTCAGCTAGATTATTTATTTGATGAACGGTTGCTTTTCCACTTACCAAGTCATTACCAGGTCCCAGGTTGGCAAGCATCTTATGGGCGGCTTCTGCTTTCCTCTGATAAAATAAAAGCGATGAATAACAAGGTGAAAAACAGTTTTTAGAAAAAGATCTGAGGACCAGCCGCTGGGAGCTCAAAAAGAAAGAAAAGCTCTAAGAATTGAGCAAAACAGGAAAAAATTACAAAGGGCATTAAAGGAATTAACAGGAGTGACAGAGCTTGACCAGATCATGAGAATTCTAATGGCAGTGTTGTGATTTTTATACTTCTCTTCTTTTGGGCTTAGATCATTTACCTAACACTTTCCAAAACGTTCGTCAAATTCAAATACTGGATATTACAATTATGAAAAACAACAGTAAATTGCTACGCAAAGAAAACGTCTGCTTAGCAAGGACAGTTTACCAACCAAAATGTCACACAGATGTATCTCTCACAACTGGTACTCAGCTGATATCTGCTTAGCCGGAAAAGGTCCTCAACACAATTTCTGCTTGGGGCTCTAATTTGGAGAGGTCTGTCCCTACCACTCACCCTGTTCTCAGCATAGATGACCTGTATGAGGTTCTGCTGCTTAGGCTCAGGGATCAGGCTACCGGGCGACTCTGGCTTGTCGGTTTGCGGAGGCTTGGCAGCCCGTTCTTCTAGCTCTTGCTGCTTGAGGAAAAATAAAGACATGAACATGTATAAGTACGAACAACTTGAGTTTGGGGTGATGTAACGTCCATTTGATTAAGATGTCTACTGACACTGTGTAAGGAACTCAGTTTGTAGCCAAAGACTTGAGTGGCCATACAGGTTCCTGTTACCTGCTTCTTCTTGAGCTTGCTGATCTGGGAGTCCACCTTGGCTATCTCTCGGTCCACACGCTCCATGGACTGGATCAAGCCTTCCTTGGACACCTTGGAGGGGGACTCTTGCTCGATAGGGGTGGGCGAGACGTTCTCAACTTTGGGAAAGTAAGGCTGCTCCTGAAAACAACGACAGGGAAACGTACATGTACACCTAGGTCATAAATTTGACGTCCCAATTTTTTCCTGTCTCTGTTACATTAGGCATACAATTTTGTACATTAAGAGCCCATTCTTTTGAGTAGTTTAAAGTCAATTTCAAATGACAAAGGTCTGGTGTAACAGGGACAGAAATTGTCACATTTCAGACCCAAAATTTACAGAATGACCCATGTACCAGTCAGGTTGAGATGTTGGCATCCAGTGTGGCAAGTGAAATTAATCCAATCCGAGTTTACCTTCATTCAACGTTTGTAAACTCAAAAGCTGGAAAAGTTGACCGTTTCCGCATACACATCGCGACTGCATAAGATGACAAGGAACTATTATTATTTTTGTTATCATTGATTTGACCAGAGAAAAAAAACGGAATACAGAGACGGGCCAGGAGTACCTTTTTCCCCCATTTGACGGTGTATGTAAATAGGGCCTAACAGGCAAAGCAATCTGGCCACCTTTTCTCTTAAAACACACCGCAAAAACAGGACCCGCTAAACATTATCAGTCAATCAGGAAATATTAAATCTTGTAGCATTCAACCGGTAACTATGTCGGCTGGGCATGGCTAATCCCACAAGGGCTGCCCTGGTTTCCCCTGCTGCCATGTTAACATGTATTTCAACAGCTGGTCATATCAGATTCAACCCCTATCCCGGTTACTGTGATTGATGGGGTTTCTGCTTGTAAGCAGAGAACCACAGAATGGGCAACCTCCATTCCTCAGAAATGATGGGATCGGATTTCACAAAGGGAAATGGAATTCGTCAAATGCAACATAACTGGAAGCAAATTCAAACATGAGATTATGAGAATGATGAATGATTATGCGGTCCACTAGATTGTAAGATGTGACTTTACTTCAGGCTGTGCAAATTACATTACTTTTTTGGTTTTTATTTACTGACTCAGGTTTTCACACTGATAACGTAAGTCCTGAAGGATAATTGTCCAAACCAAACAATGGTTTTTATACCCAAGATGGCCTGAAGTAGCCGGAGTGTCCCTCATGTTTAAGGCTACCTCTTCCAAGTTTTTTTTTACTCATATCTACGTCATAATGTCGCCTGTCTTATGAAATGCAGGTGAAATACCGTACTGTCTGGGCCCTGTGGCTGTGGTCGAGGATTGACAAGCAGCTGTGCTCTTTGGGGAACGCTGCGTGTTTCTTTATGCTAAATCCAAATGCTGAAAGAGTTGGGGGGGGCTAGCTGGTCATTAAACTAAACCATATTTTGGAGTGTGAGGAGAGACGTTTCAATGTCTTCGGTCGGACTCGGTGGGGTTTGGTAAATACAGGGATTGCTCTCAAAGAGTGCCCATCAACATTCCATGAAGAAGATTGTGAGAAAAGGTGAGAATTTATTAAAGCGCACATGCACCGGTAAATACATGCATCGGCCGTGTCTCCAAGCTGTTATGTGAAATAAGCGCGATACTGATATTTGCTTGGGTTAATGGGCAATTTTGTGGACCAGTTCAGTTTCTCAGATTGGATTGGAAAAACTACATGTACACTTCTGGTGTTAAAATATTTATACATGTATGTGGGTAATTCCTCAAATTAGGGGTCCATTTTTTGTGTGTCCCAGTCACATCTCACATATGTTTTTTGTAAGTTCAGAACACATTTTCTGATTTCCAAAGAGAGATGAATTAACGCAACTGACCTCTCAAACAAATAGTAACAGTTTGAAATCAATGCCGGTGATATTTCCAAGTCAAATAACAAAGGTCAAATGTAACAGGGACACAAAAATGTCACACTTTTGGACCCCTTATTTCTGGAATTACCCATGTTCATTTTAGCCTTTCTGACTAACACTGGGTTCAGAAAGTCACAGTTCATGGTGTGTTCTTTATAACTTCCATGATGTAGACGTTATAGACTTCATACGCACATCTTTATTACACATTTAATACAACATTCCGTAAGGTGCATCAATGAACTATTGCCATACATATTTTGCCAATGCCAATCTAAGATCAGTCACAAATGAAACTTAACTTGGGCATTTGCCGTATATCACATCAAGGACATTTGATTGATAGGGTGTTTCCTGGAGCTCCTATAACTGGGTTCATATCTTTGCTGCGCTCAAATTGTATGCGCTGGAGTCCAGAAAGCTCTGAGCATGTTAGTCCAGGAATTCTTAACCACCCCTGTAAGGTGTGAGCCTTCCTTATCAAGATGCAAGTCTAGACATGGGCAGCAAAACAAGGGTTCAAAATAAACCTCCAACGGAAAGAGCAAAGGAACAACTGGGACAGCAGTAGGAATGGCCGTCAAAAAATAAGAGCACAACTCTTAGACAAATCTGCAGTTTAACATTTTGAAAATTCACTCTTGCCCAAACAGTACATGTACATGTATGGTATGTCAGAATTGGCACCTGCTGTACACTATTAAAATACAACTCTGTCTAACCTAAGGCCCTCCCCCAAATAGTTTGTGTCTGGTCAGACTGATGTTCCGGAATAAGCCATTTCCGACTTAAATTTGAATAAAATCTGAGTTATCTGACTGCACACAAACATAACGATTTGAATTCCCCAGACTAAAGACACTGTTGCTATACCTTGTTATTCAGGGCAAGCTTTCGCATTGCAACCACCATCTCTGGAATAGACTGGTTCTTTTGTGCCCTTCTTATCTATTGAAAACAGTGTATTGTTGCAAGGCATCTCTAATGTAAATAAGCAAAAGCTTGCCCCGAATCACAAGGTATAGCAACACGTGAATTTAAAGAACTCAGTGTACCAGATTTGGGTCAAAGTTAACTCGCAAAAGGATTATTGATGCAGCAATATGGCTTTTTGGGGGAGGGTTGTACAGACAATTGCAGACACACGTTGAGTCAGGGGACTAGACCAACTTTATTATGATACGCTGACATTAAACAACTTTGTATCCATGGTTTGCTATCATTGTTCAGTATCCATCTCTTTGGGATCTATCGCCCTGAGTAAAAGATCGAGCTGCCCGCAAATATATTGAGGCAGTGTATCGGTAGCAATAGAGGGCACAGTTGCAGCTCTCACAGAAAAAAAAAAATTGATATCATCACATGCGTTGACCAGAGACGAAAGACTTTTGGGGGGCCTAAGACCACATCTGTATGTTGTTTATAACACGTCATTGTTCTGCCATCCACAACAATGACACTGTCTTGTTATTGTAATGGTGGTACATGTATTTATAAACATATAACAACATGTCCTTGCTATTTTTCGAACAACAGAATATGAGCGCCCATCTTTGGTAAATTGATTATAAAGGAAACATTTCTTGCCGAATTCAAGCACTGAGGACTCTTGTGGGTTACTTTATTCATGTGCAAGATATATTAAAATAAATTACAGGTATGAACTTTCTGTTTTCGCATGGTGTATTTGTGATCACAAGTGTTCATGTCAACATGACTGGAGCCATGCTTATATTCTTAGCAGACTCACACAGCTGTGAACCCATTATAAAGGAACTCCCGATCATGCAGATAGGTGCAATGACACTGTACATGGATTTGGATTTCTCTTTTGAAACTGCTAATCTGTCATTTAATGGCATTGGTAGTGCCATCGACACCAAGAGGTCACAGAATGACCCACAAAATGGGGGCTACAGTCTTGGGGAGTCTTTGGAAAGTAGGCCGGATAGGGCTTCTTCCACTCACATGCAAGTGACTGGATGGTAGCACTCTCAGTGAAATTAATGACAGGTGCAGTCAGAGGCATGGGTGGGGAGCAAATTGGGTACTGCAGTGTAACATTGCGTGCCAGGTTTTCAACCCCTGGGTGATCCAACTCTCACGAATATTAGGCTGAGCCAAGGGAAACAATAAGATTTTGACTTGATGACTGTCTATTGCGAGCCAACTAAATTAGGCTTGGCATAAGAAAAAACTTGTTTCCAGGATTAAAAAAAAAAAAGTCAGACTTTTTTCTTCTAATTTTCAAACACTATTTTTGTAATTTCGGGTAGAAAAGTGGAAACATATTTTCAACCCACTTACGGACTCAAAATTGAGAACTTCTTTATATTTCTTAGCATTTTCTGGACAGAGGGAGGAGACAGAATAACGACACTGTTCTTCTTAACCATTTGCTTCACACCAGGTGGTTAAATCAATCCCAGTAAAATCCACCAATTTTATTTTGTTTTCCTGCAGCTACAAAAAATTGCTCAGCTGATGACTTACCCATGCAATTGTAGAATCACACACAACTGAGTCATAACCACGTTACAAGTTGAATTGAACACGGTCAAACTGGCAGGGAAAACTTGTTACGGACAGGTGCAGCATACCAGATATTTTTCCTTGAAGCTGTAAGCTCCAAGATAGCAGTGTTTCTTATTTTTTGGAACAGAGAAAACCCGCCGCAGCGGTTGCTTTGCCTGTGCCTTGAAACTTGCGTGTCGGCATGCACTGGACTGTGGCCTTGTTGTCACGAAACGGAAATGCAGGATGAGTGACAAGGCCTTAATGTTGATGAGGGATTTATCACTTGGGGGATTGGAGGAAGCCGTAGTGAGCAACTTGCTATTTCACACTTGAGGGTGGGAGATTCATCAGGCTCACACAAAGGACTTGACTCAGGGGCAAAAACTTTCACTGATACAGTGGGGCTGGCTTTGCAGGGAGTCTCCACTTTGTATACTGGACCAAATTTCAGAGCCTTCACACTGACAGGCTGAGCTCGCTATGATGTACACATACAGCGTACTTGCGGAATAGGGCTTCGGATGTAAAACAGGGTATGATTTGAGAATGTGTATTTGGATAATGGGCAACACCTTCATCAAGGTTACAGCTATGGTTATGGCTATGGCTAGAGCAAAATATACCAGGACATGTTGTTGAATGGACAGGCATCTATCGATGAGAAGACACTGGTTCATAGACATGTACAGGCAAGTACTCTTTTCACCTGAGAAGAAACTGGCATCTTTTCTATAAGTTTTAAATTGAAGGGAAAGCGAGGATCCATTTTTTGTACTCTGGCTCTTTAGGACATCTCATCCCATTATAAGAATAGTGGCTGGGCTCTATTCCCCAATCCTTCAAAATCTCCCAAACCTCCTGGTAGATTTTAAAGGGTCCACAAAGGTTGGGTAGGAACCATCAATATAATTTAATTCAGCAACAACCGTGTGCAAAGTACACAGGTACAGTAGGTGCTCAATGAGTACATGTACATTTGGGCAGATTTGAAACACTGATTATTGGTTGATGAAGCACCCAGTCCACACATGCAACCTAGGCACAAGCATATTATCACTGGATCATTCCATAAGTGTACACTGTACATGTACATATGTGCCTACCGGGCTATTCTATAAATGTGCACCCTGCAGAATTTAATACATCCATTACATCAACCCCTTGGTCTGGTTCCGGCCTGTTCCATTCAGGAGCCAGGCTAAGGATATCTGCACACCTGGCGTTAGGCAGAAAGGTGCAACTGACAAGGCTCAGCCCTTGAAAGCACTTTGTTTTCCGTCTTAGAGCCTCTTGCCTAGTCCCCATGGACAAACTAGTGTCAGGCTAACTCGGATGACTTCCTGTGTCCTGTAGATAGCACATAAGGGGATGGGGTGGGGAACCAGATGGCCTTGGCATAAAGCTAAAAGTGGCCCCTCCATGTTCTTCTATTACTTTCTGTTTTTGGCCAGGGGAAAGACTTCCTACTTGGCCCGTCTGTGCAATGTCTTTTGTCAAAGTTTAGACTCCCAATTGCTCGGAATTGCTTGATGGATGTGAAATTAATTAGTTTGTCGAAACAAAAGGAACACTTCCCGGATGTTGAACACATGCTTGATGTGTGCCCAACTCTCAACTAATGGTCGATTTCCCTGGTAACCTACAAATAAATATATCTTGGGTACGCAATTGATACAACCTGCTTGTTGGTCAGTTAAAGACAGTATGGGGAGACGATAGGGTCTGACAGTTCGATTGGGGGGATTAAGCAGATATCTTGTACCTTTTTGATCTCAGGCTGGGCAATGTGCAAGCGTGGATCGCTGGCCAAGGGTACCGGCCTAATTGGCTTGACGTCTTCCTGGCTCTCCATAGACAGGCGAGGGCGCTTTGGGGCCAAGACTGACTCCGTCTCTGTCTGCGTGGTGACAGGTGGCGCTCGGACGGGCTCAAAGCTGTAATATTCATTTCCCCTGAAGCAGAATGGAACAATTGATTAGTTCTCTCTCTCTATCAAAGCTTTATAAAAAACACTGGCTCAATATGAGCAAGTGTTTGAGACAAAATCCAAAACCAATTATTGTAAGCATTTTACTGGTGAGAATCTGGCATGTATAATCCTGAATTTATTGAGGTAATGAGATTTTAAATGCTGCACTGCAGATTAATGCTTAGCTCTTGGGTGATTTTGCCAGAAGCCTTCTTGCAAAATGCTCAAAACCAAAACCTTGTAGTTATTCTAGCCAATGAAATTTGCAACTAATTGAAACTGAGACACTACGTCCCAACTCGATCTGTGCCTATATTATCTAGCAAAGCTGTCCCATTAGGTCGACATGTTGACAGTCACCTTGCCTCTTCGTCATCAAAGAGGGTGTGCTTGTGCACAGACTCCAAACAACCTAGGTACTATTATTTCGGCAGGAGGCTTCGTGTTCCAGTTGAGCATGGGTCTCCCGCAAATGATGTCACTTCCTACGGATTGCAACGTGCATCGGCATTTTAGACTTCAAATTGGCGTGACGCGCATCAGCTGCGCCATATTTATAAGATGTTCGCACCAACGCATGTACACATAGAGCGCATTTGCACATGGCACGCACATGTACCTGTTGGTGTTGGATAGGTAGCTGTAATTTCCTACAAAGATGATGTTTTCTGAGAGTGATCTATTGGTTCACTATACTACAGAGTTGGATTGGGGTAGAGAGAGTTAATTTAAACGGCCCCTTCCGCATTTTCTGAAGACTGAGAGCAAACAGCTCCTTACCGTTCACGTTCCGTGCCTGTGTGACCTTGGAACTCTGACAGCAAAGATGGACGTCGTCGGATGTTGAACTGGTCTCCTCTCTGGTCACGGTAATCAACAGCAGCTAATTCCTGTGAATAAAAGAAATCAGTTTCAGAAATCAATGAGATAATGCCCGGTACTGGCTTGGTTCAAATGAGGCATTCAATTTATAGTTTTTTTTGTTTTTGAAATGGCGACATTCTTGACGTTGCTGTTTTGCCTTTTACTGATGAATTATTGCAAGTTATGCAACGTCTGCTATAACTGCTTGCACAAATTTTTCTGATACAGTGTACATGGTACTGAAAAAAAAGAAGACAGCTGGAGGAAAGTGGACTGCCAAAGAAATCCATTGCAATTTAGAATGCACTAAATGCTGCAACATAAGGGATTGAAAGGAGGGTAATTATAGGGAAAGTTACTCCTGTAAAGGGCACTTGTTTTTAATCTTATCGTTTTCATTTCCGACAGACCGTATTTTGGTTTCCGACCTCCAAAAGCCTTTTTTTTTACCGACCCTGCTAAGACGACTCTTTCAAAAACAAGTAAGACGTGATTTAATATCTGTATAAAAACAGCGCTGAGTATGGACACGGGCCATATGATTTATCCTAAACATCAAAATATCAATATACTTAAGATTTTTTAATAATGGTCTTGTTTCTGTTCCATATGCATTTTATTCCCTTTTAAAAATTTTACTTAAGCTTTTTATGAAACTATGTTTGCAGTGACAGGTACTTTTGGTTGTCCCATAAATTGTTTTTGAGTTCTTGAAAAATGAAGTATTGTATTGTGTACTCAAAGAATATTTCTTCCGACCCAACTAAAAGGAAAAACACCCATGGGACTCAACATCCATGGGACTCAACATCTCAACAAGGGACATGCATGAATAAAAATATATAAAGTATATACATGTATTGTGCACTTTGCCTGGTTCATTCAGTCATCTGTATGGGAAGCAAACAAATGTTTTTTGGGGAAACTTTTTTTCCGACTGACCCACCGACCCTCCCTCAAGTTGAAAAAGATATGAAAACCATAATAAAAAAGGGTGCCCTAAGCTACAGTTGAAGTCACCCAAATGATTCGGTGAGAACTTCCGCAATTTGTCCTATTCTAAAAATTACTAAGAATTCCAAACGACAACAAATGGGTAAACAAGGCGAAATATCAACATATGCATATCTGTCGTGAAGTTCATTTTTTGAATCCAAACAAATCAAAAACTAACAGCACATTTCATCATTCCTCTTGGCCTCAATCACATCTCTCTACTGTCCCCTCCACTTTATTAATTCACTACAGCATTCACCCTGCATATGCCCGCAAATGCAATTTATTTGCACCGGCCATCTGCTACCAAAATGTGCTCACCAACCCAGCCATTCCTATCACATACAGCCAGTTACTCCTGCACATTTCACATACCAAGGTCGCACATGAGTAATAAAAAAAGGAAAATGAATGACTTCTCTCTGCCAGGCACGGTTGGGGTGACAAAATAGGAAATGGAACACTTAACCGCACCTGATGAGGTGATTCCTGTTGATGCCCCCCCCAAAAATATGACATGTCCCATTAGAATGGGGATTTATAAGATGTGACCGCAACAAATCTATCAATTTTGAGGGGAGGAGAAGGAAAAACCCGCCACAAACTCATGGCATAGATGAAGTCAGTACGGCTGAAGGGCTAGGGGAATGCTTCAAGGTTGATTCTGCAAACAATCTACATGTACATGTAACTAAATCTTTCCTGCTTTGCTTCTTAAAATTAAGCAGAGATAAGGGAATTAAGGGAGAAACCGGCTAAAAAAAGGTTGCTCCCAACTGATTGGACCATTAAAGTGTACCGTATTTGGTATTCAAGTCTGTGACTATCCAGGCTCATCATGAGCATAGAATGAGTTGGCAGGTATAGCAAACCAGATGATTCCAGAAATATGGAACACATCACTTACATCTAAACGTATTTTTATCTTGGCTTTTCTTAGCTTGGCTAAGAAATTTGACTTGCAAAACTAAGCAAAGTGTCCTCAACTTTCTCTGCTAAACCCCATTCCTACAATGTCCTTCAAAATCTATGAATGTTTAGACTTGCAAGATTCAGGAAGTCAGGGTAAAATTGCTGTTACTATGACGGGATTGGATGCCCCTAAGGAGCCCTGCTTTGGCAAAAACTTCTGTGCTTAACCCAATTTTGTAAAAGTCTATTAAAATCCACCAAAAGTGTAAGATGAATTTGTAGGATTTGGGCCGAACCTGATGCCAATTACTTTTAATGGAACTGATGCTCATTGAACATTGTTAAAAGTCGGAATATTTACAAGGTTTGGGAGGTTCCAAAGTCTGGAAGATTTTGTAGGATTGAGATACATGTAGGTTGTTTGAGGAGTCAGAGATACACAGTGCCATGAGATTGGGCCAAGAGGTTCATTTAGTTCAGCCTGTCACATTACCTGGTGGCGTGCCGCCTGTGGAGGGTAGAGAGAATAATGTTGACCAGCGGCTGTCATTGGGAACCGTTGCTGGTCAGCAGCCACGTAGATGTACCCCTGGGGTATATCACGGTGTGTCTGGGGACTCTGGGGACGAGGCCGCTTGTAGTGGGACATGGTGTCTGTCAGGGGCTGCCCACTAGGGGCCCTGCGGAAGGCGGAGACGTAAAGAGGAAAGTTGGTGTCATTTACATGTACACGTACAGCTAAGCAGCATGCATTAACACCCTAGTACAGCTAAGCAGCATGCATTAACACCCTAGGCATTGGTCGTGCACCGTACGCACAGTTTCAATTATGGAGAGAATTCTGGCATCCCTCTTGTTTCTGCCCGGGGTGACAATTCCCACTCCCCCTTTCCCACTTGAAGATTTCAGTTTCTTGGTACCTTCCATCTCAATGTCGATTCTCCAATTGCCAACCTTGACACTAAGCATTCAACAAAACCTCATGACCTTCATGTGTCCACATGCTACCCAAGATGAATTCACAAACATTCCTTCTGAACACAGGAAAATTGAGAAGTGTAATACCACATCATGTACATGTAGGCTACTGATTCACCCTGTGGCTGTCCAGATGGATCCATTTCGTGGAATTGCTAAATGGAAAATAATGTACTTTGTAAAGCAGAAAATTGCTGAGATCTGGTCAAACCAGAGATGCTACACCATGTACATAACATTTTGACTGGTTCTGCTGAGCTACGTTTTTTAGTCTGTGGTTAGAACGTTTCCTTGCTGGTGAATATCATGTGAACATTTGATACATGTACATGGGTCATTCTATAAATTTGGGGTCCAGTTTTTTAAGTGTCCCTGTCACATCTGACATATATGATTACATAGGTTTAGAACACATTCTCAAATTTCCAAGAGTGATGAATTAATGGAAATTACATGCCAAACAAATATATGTAGAAATATTTTGAAATCAATTTAGGTGATTTCAAATTACACAGGTTCGGTGTAACAGCAACACAGAAATGTCACACTTTTTGGACCCTGAATTTATAGAATGGCCCACATGTTAAAAAGCAAGTCACGAAACAATTAAATTTACTTCTCCATATTCTCACAAAACAATTAGCAAGTATGTTTCGTGTAAATGTACGGTAGAGTACATGTGTGTATGCAAAGTGATGTGTGTATGCAAAGTGATGTACATATGCATGTACTTGAGTTAAATGTACACAGATAAAACCCTCCTGTCACGAGCCAAGCATACACCTGTACATGTACCCACATACTTTGGCTACATATCACATAATCAATGCAAAATCAGGGCAGAATTGAGCATGAAGGCTTCTATTTTTAGCCTTTTTTTTACTGAAGCTGAGTCATCCGGATTACATTCTGAAGGACTTGTATAATATCCCTGACTGATAAACACTGTCCGTGTACTGTCCGCATGTGTACACATGTACAGTGCTTCATTAACCAACATGCACGCAATGTACATGTACATGTAGTTATCACACATTAGCTACATGTATATGTACAGTACAACAAATCAACAATGTACATGTACAATCAAAACTTATCTTAATTTGTAGGAAGTCACAAGTGAACGCTACATGTAGGTTACATGTGTTTAATCTGACGGTGACTTCATGCCCATTTTAAGCGGATTACTCTGTCTGTCTGACCTTAGCCAACGCGATGAAAAATTTGTGCCAAATTATGTGTAGAAGGCTCTCAGAATGTTGAGCATAACAGAATTCCCACGATTTAATCTACGAACTAGAGATTTCAAATTCCACCTTCAGCCCTGTAGGATCTTAAATAACAGACACAGGGAAGCGCATGTGAATAGATGTACATATACACACTGTCCTTGTACGCAGAGCTAATTGGATCTGTGGGCTACATGTACATGTATGCAGTTCATTATTCCGTAACACAAGGTAACCATTCTAAATACCCCCTAATGCACTTGAACATACCAGAATTCTGATATTCCCATTTTGGACTTCATTTTTTCCAAGGTAAATACTAAATCCTGCCATTCTGCAAAGTGCATTATTTAAAACAAGTAGCATTTTCCTTATGTTTAATTAGGTGGAGTAAAAAAGGTGTTTCATGTCCAATGTAGAGGGGCTTTTGTTTCCAATATCTGATGTATCATGCAGTAATGGTGTTTACTAAGCTCAATCTTCATGTACACACATTGTACATGTACAAGGCTACACGTGTACATGTACATAAAATCACTTGGACAGAATAGGAAGCACCCAGTGTTACAGAATATTGCTTTGGTGCTATCAGTGGGAACCAGTCACAAGACACTGGTACAGTACATGTGCTACACAAATGTTGGCTGGTAACCCGTCCTTGTTTTGCAACATTTTCTATGGTGTTCATAGTTAATTGTACAGTTCTCATTTTATTTTTTTTACCTTGAAAGACCATGACAGCCGGTCCGATGACGGAAAAATGGGATTTGAAAAAAAAAATTTGACCCTGAAATTCTCAACATTATCATTTTTTCTTGGTAGGAAATTCTGGATGGGATTGGTGGCATAATAGATATTGGTTTTTGCCTCGGTCGCAGCCAAAAAAATAGGATCTGTTGGAAACGAGAGCCAAAGAATTAACTAAGCGTGCTAATGTCAAAGTCTTGTACATTGCAGCTCTCTCTAATTCCTGTTGGTCCCAGAAATATCTGAGGCATAAAGCGTGAACCAACCAAACAGCCAAGAACTGTGCATTACATGTGCATTACCAGTAGGTATGAACACACACAAATGCGCACAAAGGTAAAAATAGCTTCCACTCTACAACTGTACAGTTGCTCTTTCAACAGGAACGTACATGTAACAGACTACAATGACAAGTGCATAACACAGACATGTACATGTACAGTTGTATACTTGGTGCAAAACAGTAATTGTACTGTACATCCATGGGCGTCAGACTGGAACGTAAAGAAACACATCACAGGGCTCCACATGTGGGAAGGTTATCCCATTCATAAATGCAGCCATTGACAGATTGTATAGTCTCCCATTTATGGAAGCCTTTATGCTCTGTGGTCACAGACTAATTACCATCCTTACCACAGCTTAATGCATCATGTACCAGTACACTGTACCTCACACTGTGACAGGTACATGAAACCCATTTCTGTGGTTTACAATGTACATGTTGTAATGCATGTATAATGTATACAATGAGATTTAGGGCAATGTCTCCCATGGTGTTGCCACAGCGAATGATATTGCAGAAAATACCAAACTGAGTGCTTTGCAGGTACAGAAATGCAGACGCATAATATAAACATTTCCTGGTAACAGTGAAAAAGATTGGATACATTGTAAATAATGTTTTGTTTGGCATATTTTATTCACAAAGGCATTTTTCTAAAAATTGAAAATGTTGGAAGATATTATACATCCGATGGTCCAAAAACAAACAGGCTTTGCAAATGAAAAAAATACTTGCACAAAATGTACATGTAGAGAAAAAATATCAGATATAATAAAAAAATGCAGTTTATAAAATGCCTTCAAAAAACCCACATTGCCGATCAATAATGCCACATGAAGAGAAACATGCGGTAAAGCTTAGTGCTATTTATAAAGTTTGGGAACATTTCAAGGACAGAATTGATTTTGGTGGATGGTTTGTAAAATTATAATGAGGATGCCATGCTGAAGGAAGTGGGCTAATGAACGTGTCGCATGTGTGGTTGGTAATGTAATAAATTTATGATGCAGCCATATATCATGAAGAGCCACATGACACATGTGCAAATGTAATGAGTAGATGAGGCTACCAGGCACTGTAGGCCTACAATGTATGTGTCCATGTATGTTCATGTGCATTTGCTCCATGGTGCAAAGGACCTTAACATACAGTACTTGTATGCACATGTGCGGGTTGGCCTTCTCCACACAGAGGGGACATTTTTGTTTGTTAGTAAAGTTGGAACCGTGTTGTCAGGACAAACGTTAAATTTTTTGGTCATGTAAAATCTATGGTGCATTTCAACAGGTGTGTGGTCCCTATAATCCAAGTACAGTGGAACCTCGCTATACCGAACACCACCATACCGAACATTTGGCTGTACCGAACATTTGGCTGTACCTAACATTTGGCTGTACCGAACATTTGGCTGTACCGAACATCGTCCTTGGCTCCCACTATTTTGTGCACGAAACCTACCAAATATTATGTAGTTGCAAATCAACCGAGATTCGCTACAGCATGCATCAGAGATCAATCCTGAGCGGTAGCTTCACGACTTTTAGGATAAACTAAATATCAGTTTTGTTACTCAATATTTAATAAAACCAAAATTAATTAACAGATACATTTCTAGAAACCTCAAACATGAATGCAACGGCAAAACATCAAGAAAACAGCGAATCGTAGTATCACAAGAGGGTGCACTTCAGTTAGACAAGAGACGGCGCTATTCAACACGGCAACGAAACACGCGGCAGTTAATTTCGCTATACCGAACAACCACTGTACCGAACATTTAGCGTGGACCCTGCCGTGTTCATTATAGCAGCGTTCCACTGTACACGTGTACATTATAAGTGTGTAACATGTACCATTAAGTCACTGCCACCAGTTCTCACAAACTAAGTTTCTGCACATTTCCTGTCTGGTGTAAACCTGTTGACTGACATACTGACGGACAAAGGCCCTTTCATTAAATACGGTACAAGTAATATACATGTTTATGTTCCTGTAAATACATGTCCATGTATGTACTGTCTGTATGAGAACCAGGATTTCCATGTGCCAGTAACCTACTGTACATGTCCCCTACTTAGACAGATCTGAATGTCATTATGTACTTTACATCGACTTTGAGGGTTTTGCAAATTAGAAGTATATTTTTGCATATTTGCCTTCTTTGACTTCTAAATTACAGCCGTAGTAAGCCACCTAGATGAGAAAAATCAAATCCACTTAAATTACTTTGTTTCATTAAACCTAAGCTCTGAAATTTTTCCACTTCTTTCCTGTTAACGGCAATTAAGTTACCAAGTACACGTTGCGCATGCAACCTGGAAGTTCATGCATGAACAGTACACGTAAAGAAATTCACCTAACATACACCTAGACTTGGAGGGTAACAAAATTTCCACTCCACCACAGGTGCATGCATGATAATTCAATCACAAAAACCTGC